GTTTTTTTTTATGAAATTGATGTTTTAGGAGACCTTGCCAATCACAGCCCGACACTTGTGAAGTTTACGGACTACGGCAGTTTGAAAGGTTTTCTTCCATAAAATTAATCGATTCCTAGACTATTTCGACTCAACATTTCCAAAATACGTATATATTTTTTTTTTTTTGCGAATAATCCGTATAAACTATGCTATAAACAAAAAATTGTAGGATTACTTACTGAGTGTGCACCGTTCGACGTCGCCATTGCTTAAGCTTATTTTCGTCGCGGAGCAACGCACCAAACGGCGGGCGCGATTTCTGATAAGTTATTTTTCTGCGAAAACTTCGTTGAACTTTGGAGACATCATTAATATAAATAATTTTTATGGCCGTTGAATAAGAAATGTTTCTTTCACAAGAAATGTATAAAATTAGTGCTGTATTAGACTTACGGTACCTAATTTACATAATGTACAGACCATAGTAAACTCAACTTACTTGCCTAAACTCTCTGTAGCATAGCGCTGGACAACGGAAAGTATATATATAATTATAATAAAGCTACAATAAATAAGTTAATATATAATTATATATACAGTACCTAATTTATATATAATACTGTACAGACGATAATAAACTCAATTTACCCGCCTAAACTCTCCGTAGCGTGGTGCTGGACGGCGGAAAGTAGTTCGGCTGCCCGATGACGTTTTACCGAATTATAGGAGTTTTTTTACAACGTTTCTACGGATACCGTCGCAATTTTTTCGCCTTCATATAGGAATCCGAACTATAGGAACCTATGTTATAGGGGGTCGACAGTATAGATCTTTCTATATTCAAACTGAGAAAAAGATCGTTCGTTTCGAGAAATGTAACTGTTTTTATAAAAAACATCTATCAGTAACAACGAGTTGCGTAACTTTCTCGGCTGTTGTGAATTTTATTTAGAAAATAACTTTTATATTTTTAATTAATTAATTATATTATAATAAATAAAATTGTGTTTGGCACCACCTGTTATGAGATTTCGTTTATAAACTTTTCATATTTTTAATTATTATAAAATGGCAAAAGGTTTAATTTGACAATGACTACAGCAAAAAGTACTTCAAACTTAAATGTAGAATGAAATTTTTCTGTTGTGTTAAAGATTTTATTGGGCTGCAATTTTCAAATTGAAGACTTATAAATTCCCACAGGCATATGTCTAGTTGTCTGTCCTTCCTTAATCTAAGAGCTGACAGATAGATGAAAGTCAAGACCAGAAATGGAAAGCTTAGAGACAGGAGACCCCGATTAACTATATAAACTTCCAGTTTGGACCAGAAGTTGTTATTTCAATTTAAAAATTTTCTCCAGAACAGAGTTAGATAGATGACAGGCATGACTCTACTGTTATCAGAAAAAGTATGATATATAAGAGTAAGACACTTAAAATGGAGAGCATATATTTTAAACTAAATAAAAAAAAAATATGATTAAAAATTGCAGTCCAGCATTGTGACTGTCATAAATAATTGCTTGTTTTAAATATAATTCAGAAATCATTTTGAAGGTATTTTGACATCAATAATCCATCCTGTTTGTTTCAACTAGCAAACATTTCTAAATAAGTAACTTGTTACAGAATAAATTCCAAACCTTTTATTCTGTTACAAATTAATTTTAAATCTATATATTAAAAAACTGTGAAAATAAAATAAGTCAAAACAATTTAAAACATCGAGGAATAATTATTTTATTAAAATTAAATGAGAGATAATAAACTGAGTCATAAAAATTTTAAGCATTAAAAATTAATGCTTAAAATAAAATAAATAATATTTTAAACAAATTAAAAAATTTCTGTCATTTCTCTCCTATTGCTTTCAACCACATTGAAAGTGTGAAAATAGTTTCATCTAATTGTATTTCACTATGTTCCAATTTATTTGTATTTTGTTTAACCCTCTCTAACTGAGCATGTTCTGGTGGTGAAATCATATCTTCTACCTGTGAAAATAAAAGTTTTTAATTTAAATTTTTCACATTTTAAAATCATTCTTGCATGCTATTTCATATCTGATTTAGTAAATTTGGATCATATTTATCATTATATAAAACATTCTTATTTACTATATCATCATCAATCAAATCACTGTGCAAGCATCCTGTTTGATATTACTATGTTCATTATTGCTGCAGTACCCATTACCTCATTGCTTCACTATATGCAAGTTTTACAGATTTTTTATTTAATTAGCTTCATTTATTTTACTTATTTAATTTTAGTCCAATTCAGAAAAACTTATAGAAATTAATACTAATTAATATAAAGAGAAAAATGTAATAGAATGTACAGATATAAACATCTAACAAAACCAGATGCTTAGCAAATAGACACCCATGATTGCCATAAATAATTGGGCTATAATTTGGAAATATTAATTATGAATTACGAATAAATTTGGCACTAGAGGAAGGCATTAGGCACCATCTCATATTAAATTTAATAATTATAATATTTAATTAATTAATTTAATTTAGAATAAACTGGAAGAAAAGAATCAGCCCAAAGTGCGACTCAAACCCAGTCTGATCTTCTCTTCCAGTATATATAAGCCTAATGTATAACCATCAACGATTAATACAGTGCTGACTGGGGACACACCTGTGCCCCCGGCTAGAAACATCCACTCAAGGCACTCAGTCGGCCATCGCATACGCCGGCAAGGTGTAGATACACAGATATAAAGATATATATGTGGATATGCGATGGCTGACTGAGTGCCTTGAGTGGATGTTTCTGGCCAAGAACATGGGTGTGTTCCCAGTCGGCACCGTATTAACTGTCGATGGTTATACATTAGTCTTATATATACTGGAAGAGGAGATCTGGCATAACTGGCAACATGTCTGCATGGTAAGCGGAAGTTGCGGGTTTGAATCCCACATTGGGCCGATTCTTTTCTTCCAGTTTATTCTAAATTAAATTAATTAATTAATTGAATATTATAATTCTTAAATTTAATACGAGATGGTGCCTAATGCCTCCCTCTAATGGCAAATTTATTTGTAATTCATAATTAATATTTCCAAATTATAGCCCGATTATTTACAGCAATCATGGGTGTCTATTTGTAATAGAATGTAAGTGAAAATGACAAAAAACTTAAACTTTCTGGTCAAAGAATAGAAAAATTCTGTAGTACAGTAATTACTACAAAATTTTTTCTAGCAGAAATGCTATGGATTTATTTTTAAACAAAGATATTTGTAGAAACAAAATATAAAGAGAATACAGTTTAATCTATTTGCTGTAATCACTTTGGAACTCATCTATACTAATAACAACCAACTAACAATTTTACTTGATTAAGGAAGATATCACAATTTAATAAAATTGAAATTTATTTTAGTTCTATTACTAAAACTTAACAAACTACATAAAAAATTGATTAATAATCTATAAATATCACATGGTTAACACAATTTGTAATTTTTATCTGATGATTTAAAAAAAAACATTTAATCATAATAAATAGCACATTTTAAACTTTATTAGCAACTTTGTTTCTTAAGTCTAAATGTTAATGATGGAGTCAGTACTGTAGTATCAAAGAAATGATAATTAAATAATAGTCTAAACCAGGGACGGCCAACAGTTTTTGCCCCTGGGCCAAATTGGAAAGAAAACTTTTTTCACAGGCCAAACCAGAGGCTGCCCTAGGAAGATTTTCAGGTGGTGTGAGATCTCATTGTGGTGTCACTCCATAGGGACTAAATTGTACATAGAGATTACAGATACATTTTTCACATTATCATGCTTTATCAACACTCTACGCTGTACATATGAGATTTGTAATGGAGGGTTAACTCTAAACACAGTGAGTTGTTGACCATATTTTTTTTGTAGGCATCAGAATTTTTCATCGAGCTATTTGGACTTGAGTAGCTAATATTGAAATCATGGGCCGCATAAATTCATTTGGTGAGCTGGATCCAGCCCGCGGGCCATATATTGACCATGCCTGGTCTAAACTATAAAAATTTATAAAATGCAAAAATAACCAGAAATTAATAAAAACTAAGTGGCAACATACCATTCTAATTAAATTAAGTTTTATTATTATTTTTTAATTATATAAGTTTCTATTTGTAAAACAAAAACTCCAAAGTCATTGGACAATTTCACTAATTTTTTATATTTAAATATTTTTCTATATAGTTTCTTTTATCTAAATATATAAAATTACTTGTCCTGACTGACTGACTGAGTGATTGATTCATCATCACCCAGAGCAAACTGCTGAATGTAGAGGTGAAATTTTGTACACAGTTAGGTTACATCATGAAAACACACACTAAGAAGGAATTTTTGGAAATTCCCTCTGCGGGGCAGAGGGAGAGGATTAAGGCTTAACCTGAAGAACAGCTTCTACTGTACTATTTTAGATGCAATAGTTTTCATTGAGTACTTAGGTGTATTAAATTGATAACATTTCAGACATTGTTATAAATATTTTTATATATTTTGATTTTTTAACCAAATGTTCAAACCGTTTTAAATTCAAATTTATTATTGCATATTGATTCAATTATAGAATGATTGTAAACGTTCCAGAAAATTGATCAAATGAAAATAGTTTGTTTGATTCTCAGCAATTCTCATCATTCTCAATGGTAAGTGTTATATAACATTTACTATGGTTGTTGAAATACTGAATATAAATGGAGTTTGCTTGCAAAATCCGTGTGTGCAAAGTCGCAGGTAACAGCTAGTATATAATATAACAGTAATTTTTATTGTTTTAAAATTATTCTCAATCTTTAAAGCATTAATTCAACTAACTGCTTTTCCATTCAATGCTTCTCAAATCAAATTTGTTATTGCTGTTTTTACTTTTAATAGACTTTTATTTTTGTCTTTTTATATAAGTTATCTGTCCTGTATATATCATTTGTTATGAGTAGAGAATGGATTTTAAGATGCAAAATTATGATCAGAAAAGGAAAAAAAGGTTCTGAAAAAGCATAAAAAAAAAGGTGTCAATAAAATGCATTTGTTCAAATCTAAACCAGTTACATAAACATTCTTTATCTAACACTATAGCAAATATCATAAACAAAACATATTCAGGAGATAGAAATGACATTTATTGGGTTTTAACAAACTTGTTATACTGGTTTATGCACAACATTTCTATGTTTCAAAAGTAAGTTGCTGGTGCTTTGAGCTCAGATCTTGTATGTGGAGAAACTCTGCTCAACATCAACTGAAACCAATGAAACATATTTTGTAACCACTCAGAAATGAAGTTCAGTCGAAGTTGCAAAGGTTTCCACATACAAATTGTTCCTCAAATTTAATTCAAATTTGGCTTTGGCAAATCTGTCAAGGTTGTCCTCTCACAGCCATCAACTTCTTCCAGTGTTCCTCCTCCTACATACCTTCTTCCAGTGTTCCTCCTCCTACATACCTTCTTCCAAACTCTGAATCAATCAAGCATATACTTGTAGTCATATGCTGCAAAAAGTTCCAAATGTAAGTCTTTGTCATTGAGCAATTGCTGAGTCTGCTTAATGGCTTTTGTCTGTTGAATCTAGGGCACATATGAAAAATTTAATTTTGTTGGAATTTTACACAAGAAAACTGCACATTACAATAAAAATTGCCAGGATGAATTCACATTTAGAAAAATATATTTCTTCTTAGATTATACATACAAATGAGTCCAAATTCTTTAGTCCTTTCATACACTTGTAGATGCATTAACAAATCTTCAGCGTAACAAATTTGTATGTGTAGTCTAACAAGAAATATATTTTTCTAAATGTGAATTCATCCTGGCAATTTTTATTGTAATTATTAAATTTATAATTGTGTTTGCTACCGCTTGAAGACTTTTAACTTTTTTACATTTGATGGCAGACAAGTAGCCTATAATAAAAGGTTAGTTCTGCCGAAGATTTGTTAATGCCTCTACAAGCATGTGAAAGGACTGAAGGATTTGGACTCATTTATATGTATAGTCTAACACAGTGGTTCTCAACTTTTTTTGTTGATGTACCCCATTAGCTCATTAGTCGTTCTCAATTACCCCTTATATTTTTGTATGTAAATTTCATAATTACTGCATTAGATGTATACAGCCCTTATAACTCTTATAACTAAGTGCCATAAAAAAGCTCTAACTAACTATAACTAAAAGTGAATTACTTATTACGTAAATAATAAATTTAATCAAGTACATACATTTATTTATTATTATTTGATAAGTATATTATATAAAATCACAGAATACTTGCATAAATTACATTTCCTAAAAATAAATAATTATAATTAACAATAAAGAAAATTTAAATTATTCTACAATAATTTCTAACAAAATTTAATGGGATATTTGTTGCGATAAATCTTCAGCAATTTTTTCAAAATTTGGTTTCCACGTTTTTAAATAGAGATTATAATTGTATACTGACCTTAAAAGTAATGGCTGTAAATTTATAATGTGCAGAACAATAAACGAATCTTTCAATTTTTGTAAACAATGTAATATCTAAATTTGCTAAATATCAAGTAATGCACGCATGCAGTGACATGCATTGCATGGTAGGGGTACAATCCAGGCCTCGTTATTCCTAATACCAGTAGTCCAATAAAAACACAAAAGACCCCAATCTCATTGAGCAATAATTATAGAAGAGAATAAAAAATTTTTTTCTATTCTAACATTAATGCTCAGTTAAACCGTAATTTTACTAGACTACAGGTTCACTCGGCACTAACGGCACAAATATACGGGCAAATCTGGACTGTTAAAAGGGAAATCAATGTTCATACTGCGATATTTTAAAGCAAGTTTTTGTCATTTCTTGTTTCTTGTGTTAATAATTTACAGCAAATTGATTAACATACGTCATTTTATAGTGAAAGTTAGATGTACCTCTTCAATTTACGCTCGTACCCCTGGATGAGAACCACTGGTCTAACAAGAAATATATTTTTCTAAAACTGCACATCTTATCCATTTACGCCACTTTGGTTATGATAGGAAATTGTGGTAGGTAGAGTCCAATGACTTCTCATGACTGGAGGCTTTTATAAGAGTGTTCTTCAGAGCAGCAATGAAGTCATTTACCTTACTGTATTCTTCCCTGATATATTCACAAACACAGTATAGACCATGTGCAATACATGTCACATGCTTGAGGTTAGGTAAATGGCCTTCAGTTATTGGAAAGCCAAAAGCATACAGCATGCTTGATTGCTCACCACAAGCCTGACTTTTTTATGGTGTATGTGCCCTGGCCACAGCTTCATGCATAAATCATTGAATGCATTACTGTGCAGCATTTGTCTTCTCAAGTTGCTACATCTTAAAAAGTTTGGATTAATAGTAATCCAAGCTTATAGTTTGGATTAATGATGTGGTAAGATCAGCACTGAACTCACTTGATGACTGCTGCTTTTCAGATCCTGAAGTGAAGACACATCAAGACAGTTTGCTTAGGTTTTGACTTGTGAAGTTCAATGTTCCTTGCATGATTGTTGTACCAGATGTGCTGGTTTATTTTCTGTCTCTGTGTTGCTTCTCATCAATCACAATAATTACATTGGAGACAGCACATCAAAGAATGAGACCATCAGTTTCAATGAATTGCATCTTGAATTCTTCTAAAAGTGCATAATACATAATGGTTTTATTGTGAACAATGGGCTCTGGTTTGTACTAGTGCAACACTAATCTCTACTATTATAAAGAGGTAATGTTTGTAAGTTTGGATGTAGCGGGTAATCTCCGAAACTACTCATCTAATTTCAAAAATTCTTTCACCAATATTTAGAATGGAACTTCAAGATGGACATAGGCTGTATATTATTCCATTAACATTCATATAAATTAAAAGATATCATTTAGGGTTAAGGCTTTTATGTCCAACAGATGGCGCTATGAGTATGACAACCTAAGTTTGCTTTTCCGTGAAAATGAACTAAAGCAGATCATCATCTATCTATCTATCTATCTATATAAATAAAAATGTAATGTTCATTTGTTCCTACTGATTCCTTTGAAATTTTGACACAACGCTGCATTCGAATACGCACGTGTTTTTATATAATATACATGTCAAAATTCAACCCCACTGAAGGGACAGGATTAAGTCTTACCGAAAAGAATTCTGCTTCTATTTATACTATTTTAGATGCGGATTTTTGTGTTTTAATAGGGTACGTCAAGAGAATGTACACTAAGAAGGGATTTTTCAAAAAATTACCCCCACAAGGGAAGTGTTATACATTTATAATAGATACATTTTGAGCCACAACAATACGTGATGGGGTCTACTAATCAACTATATAGAGCAAATACCCATCACAGAATCCAAGGCCAGAATGAAATGCCTTTTTCTGAGCCTTCTTTATATAGTGGGCATGGACCTCATAGAGAATTGGTGAATAGTGCTACTGTTCTGTCAAAGTTTATTTTCTTTCATAGGCTTTGCTACATCATCTTGGGAACTATTGGGGCTACAATGATGGTAAATATGCCATTTTATAGCTCTTGATCTACTCTACAAAATAAGGGCATGGAATTTTACGTAGCTGTTCAAGAAGAGTGAAAATATTTTTAAATTTAATTTTTCTGTCCAATTTTTTAAAAACACGCAGATATTTGAGGAAAACAGTGCTGAATTGTCAAAGGGGTAAAGGGGGAGAAACGTGCTAATCTCACAAAAAGATGCAACACAGTGTATTCATTTTGCTTCATTTCATTCCCCAAAATATATATATTAAACTATCTGTATGAAAAAAGCTATATTTTTGGAAAGGTGCTGCATCTTAAAATCCTTTCTCTAGTTATGAGTATTTAGATAGCTCAAAAATTAATGATGTATACAATTGGATTAGAACTTGTGGATAAATTGCTCTGTATCTTCACCTTTTGAAATATTTTTCCACATTCTGATACTGGTTTTATCTTCCAAGTGTTTCTTATAATTCTTCACTCAGATAAATTATTGAATTGTAGTTCTATTCTTATTTCACTCTTTGTGGTTTTTTGTAACAAAGATATTCCCAAATTTATGAAATTAGATTTTAATATAGTTTTTATTTACTCTACAAATACAGTATTTCTGAAATATTTACATGATTATTGCCAAATTTTTGTCAATCTCATCTTATAGATTCTCATAATCAAACAGCTTAAATTTTTAATTGTTAGCATATTAAATTACTCAATTAGTGAAATTTGATCTAGAACAGTGGTTCTCAAAGTTAGTCAATCTATCGGCTACTTAAATCAAATCATAGGTGCCTAAGTGGACAATTTATGTCCCTGTCCACATCTTATATTGTAAATATCACCTTAGATGTGTACCAAAATATTTTATCTATAGTCTATTTGATAACCTAATGCAAAAGATATGTGATGCATGAAAATTTTCTTTTCTCTGACTAAACAGCATAAAATTCTATTTAGGGAAATGACTAGATCAGTCCGTGGATTCTAGTCTGCAATAAATTCTAGATCAGTAATTCTCAATGTACAGTCTGTGGACCACACTTCAAGAATTACTCATCTAGAATTTATTTAATTTTCAAAATTATGCTATAAAGAGTATTTTCCCTGATCATAAAAATGAAGTAGAAATAATAAGAATTTATATTTTTGTTTTATGTAACAACTTAAAATTTTTTCAGTAGTTTAATCCAAATTTTCTAAATCATTTTAAAATTGAATATAAATTATTTATACAGTAGAGCATCGATTATCTGAATATTGATCAACCAAAATGTCAATTAACCGAAAGCTTTCCAGTCAGCAAATTTAAATTTCCACTAGTGCTGTGGTGCTGCAATCTTTGGCTATGTCTTGGGATACTCCAATATTATTTTTGTTGGTGCACGTGCTTTAGCTGGCAGCACTGGCACAACCATGAGAGGGTACCAGGATGTGCCAAGATTTGAACAAATTTCAACATGAGATAGATTAATATATTTTTTCATACATAATTGATTATCCATAAAATTGATTTTCTGAACAACCCCAGTCCCTAATTGATTCAGATAATCGATGCTCTACTGTCTTTATGATTCTACATTATTAACATACTTCTTGAATCTGTGTACTATCAGCACCACTCTGTTGAAGGGTTGCAGTTATTGCTTCCACCCTCTGCTTTTTCTCTAAAAGTCTTTTGTGTTCCCTATTTATAAATTCTCTATGACATATCGAATTAAACATGACTTTGTAGCATCTATCTAATAATGATCGACATAGCTGAAAATAAATAAAGAAAAATCTATTTTTTATTTGTTTAATTTTTCTAGATATAGGAATTGGAATTATGTATTATAATTTTTATAATAGAAATGATTACCTGAACCAAATCAACATGAAACAAATAAAATGTTCGTGAAGGTGCATGATCAGGAGTACGTGGTATTTCCTAAAATCAAAAATTATATTAGACATTGTATTAATAATCAATAGTTGAAAAATTTCTAAATAAATTATTTCAATCTGATTTAAGAATTACAGTAGAGCATCGATTATCCGAATACCAATCAACCAAAAGCTTTCCAGTCGGCAAATTCAAATTTCCGCTAGTGCTGTGGCGCTGCAATATTTGGCTGTCTTGGGCTACTCCAATATTATTTTTGTTGGTGTGCATGTTTTAGCTGGCAGTGCTGGCGTGACCATTATGTATCGTTAAAAATTATTTCTTTATTTTGCGCAAACAAAATAAATATATTGAAAAATATAAAAACAAAAAAAAAATTCTATTTCAGAAGTTAATCTAGTATCAAAAAGATTCCAATTCAGCACAACACACATTGAGAGGGTACTTAAGGATGCGCCAGTATTTGAACGAGGCTTTTGTTTCCCATCATGAATGGTGTTATTCGCTGAAAATATAGCCTAAAACATCTCCATATAAACCCAAGAAAAAGAAAGAGTTTTGCTTGTTTTGTGTGGTATTTTTCTGAGGACTGTGTCATGACATGTGTTGTGCTGAATTGGAATGTTTTTGATAATAGATTAACTTCTGAAATATAATTATTTTTTTTAAAAATATATTTATTTTGTTTGTGAAAATAATTTTTAACAATACAATAGCCATGATTATTATTTTAAAAAAATTTTCATTAGGCTTACCATTGACAAAATTCAATGTGAAGCGACATGCAACGGAGAAAAATTTCACTACGGGATAGGTTAATATATTTTTTCATATATGATCAGTTATCCAAACAACCCCAGTCCCGAATTGTTTTGGATAATCAATGCTCTACTGTATAAAAAAATATAAGATATTATATCTTATATTTTTTTACTCATTACATCACTCATTCCATATCTTTTGATATTTAGATTTGTTTTCCTTTTACACCTTTTTAATTTTTTTTTTCATTTTGGACACTTATCCCGTGGACACTAAGAGAGCTTTTTTCCATACCCATCATGGGTTTGACTTGAACTACAATGGGGCAGCCAAATGATGAGATGGGATCCAACTTATCTGAAACACACCACCTCTAAAAAATTCCTGGGATTCTCACTTGCTTGGATTCAATCTTGGATCCTCAGAGCTGTAGGTTGATGCTTTAACCACCTCAGCCATATGGCCAGCCCTCTTTTAATATTCAAATTTATTTACTTTTCTAATACTTTATATTTTTCAATCATCAGTCATTTTGTATTTTAATATTATTCAATATTTAAGTAAAATGCATTATTTCATTCAATACAACATGCAAAAAACAAAGTATTTTGTATTAATTTAATGATTATTTTCCCTTATTTTATTTTAATAGATAAATTCCAAGATTTATCCAAATTTAAATAAAATCATTCTTTAAAAGTCCATTTGTTCTTTAAAAGTTTGAAATTTCATTTTACAATCCATTGCACACTTTCCTCAACTTTCGTTACTTCTAATTATAAATATCTGTGAAGTTTGAGTAACAACATCTGAATAAATCATAAGAGGATTAACAGTTGAACGAGTGGGAAAATGCAGGAGATCATTTGATACTAATAACAATAAATTTATTATAAACAAATAAAAGGGATAATTACAATAAAATACAAATGATCAATAAAAATACAAATGACATAATAATGCAAATAAATGGAATTATAAACAATATAAGCTATGCCTATCCTCATGGAGATACCAGATTATCTATCTTACAAACTATACCTATCTTGCAAAGAGAGTTTACAATATTTCTAATGATTTATACTACCTTAACAATACTTTTCTTTGTTCATACATGTTAGATACATATGAGGAGAATCTTCTAATAGAACCAGTAGTTTTGTTGAACAGGGCGTAGTATGGCCAATTCAAACTGTTAAATTTGCATGGCAAATTCTCTTCCAGGAACTGTGCCTTATGTGGCAATTACTGGAGAACTGCCTGGAGTGGAGGGAATGTCCCTTTTATCCAAGTTAATGACCTAACAAACGGCCAGGTCACATGAGCGACCACTTCTGACTCAACTTCCAAAGTCAGCCGTAGGAAAGGAAGTTTACTTTCCTTCTTTTTAAAATGATAAAAGCTACATCCTTTCTTTGTTTAACTTCTCTCCAAAATAAAATATTTTTTTAGTCGAAAATAAAAACATTCTTTTTATCCACTAATTTCTTTAAAAATGACTCCCCCCATTTAAATCCTGATTCTCACATTAAGTTGTAATTCATAAAAGAAAGTTTAAAATGATAATATATATTGCCAAATGATTTGTTTGTTACCTTTTATCATTTTAACTTCATTCGTATTAAAACATAACTACGACAATACATATTTTTCCTCTTAAACTACTTAACTATACATTAACTGTATAATAAATGATTAAAAATTGTTTTTCTTATATATGATTAAATTCACTATGGTATAAAAAGAGACTTAAGTTAAGAAAAAGTGCTACCAGATAAATCTTTTATATTTGTAATTTTTAATCCAGAGTGGCCATGACCATTTGTTTTACCCAAGTTTTCAGTTATCCAAGGAAGCATTGNGATATTTTTTTTTCTTTGTTTTTAAGGAAATTTTTAATTTTGATGGCCAAGTAGCCTACAGTGAAAGGTTAGTTATCAAAAGTTTGTATTCCAGAACATTGAATGTGAATAAATGGTGATTCCTTTTTTCAACAGACTTTGTCTTCAATTTAATTTTTAAAAATAATTTTATATTATATACAAACAAGGAAGCATCATATGCAGTTACAGAAGTGATATCATATTGCATAAAATATAATTAACCTCAATAAAAAGTTTTAACAACAGATAAAAACTAAACTAAAACATGCCTTTATGGAGAAAATTTACAGGACATTTTAATAATTAAAGTAGAAATTCTTGCAAAATATAAAATGAATTTGGTAACATTTATAAAAACAAATGGTACCTCCAGATAAAGATCTTCCTCGTTTAAAAGTTATTAGCAAATTTTTGAAATATGCCCTTAAAAACCATATGTCTAATGCCACTTTATTATACTGTATTTATTGTACAGAATCTCTGTTTATGAAAAACCTTTTCTAATTCTGACTAGTGGAAGGAATAACTAGTAACTGTTTATAGAAAAAATTGTTGAAGTTTTTCTCCTCTCCATCCTCTTTCATAAAAATCATTTATCTCTCATATTGATACTACTAGGTCAATGAATTACAGTAAAATAAATGTAATTAGCTAATAACTAAATAAAGTTATTTCTTTAACTTTTGACATGTTGATATCAAAGCTTTCACCACTAAACAACTCAGAAGTTGTCAATTATATATGCCAAGTACAACATCTGAGAATTTTTCCAATGTGAAAGAAAAAGATTATATGCTTTAATGGCAAGAACTAATGTATATTTTTTCAGAAACATTTCTTTTCAAACAAAAATGCATACAAAATAACCTCCAAACAACAACCCAACAACTAAAAATTCTATTTTTAACCTCTTAACAATAGTCATTGCCCTCAAAATGACATACAATACTAATGTACTATACATAATTAGTCATTATTGGTAAAATGGTTAGTTTGGCTAATGGTTATTTCCATGGTTAATAAAGTTGGCTTTAAATGTAAAAAATAAATTCCTTTAATTTTAAAAAAAACATCAAGGACTAGCTATGTTTAACATTGTAGACAACTGAAAAGAAAAAAATTCTACTTTGTGCAGATATAGACTAAAAATTATTTAAGCTTAAATTAATTAAATAATAAATTAAGTACATCTGATAAATATTTTGGTTCATTTATATTGCTTCAGCTGATTGAATTCCAGTATAACGCAAAGGGCATGGGTTCATTCCTGATACATAAATTTTATTTTTTATAAATAAACAAAATCATAAAAAGTCTGTTTTTACAAAAATTAAACAAATATAACTATTTTTTTAATGTCAAAATTATGGCAGGAATTAACCAATCTGATAGTCCAATTTGTCCTCTGACCTCCCATGAGTTTACCATTTGTTTATGTATCAAACATTTTCATTACAGTTGAAAGACCTTTGGATGCTTTGTTTAGTTTAGTTATGGCAACGCAACACTTGGGCGATCTGCCTAGGGAGATGCCTTCGAGGAGGTCTTTTTAAGGGAAACTAGCCCTATTTAGGCATTACAGATGTGGAGAAAACCTGGAAAACTCCACATGGCCAGCCCGTCTGAGCAAGATGCAAACCCACAACTGAACTCCCAGTGTTCAGGGTACAAAGACCGCTCGACCACTGGTGGACCGACCTTTGGATGCACTTGATGCAAATGTACATAATAGACAGCTCTCACACACTGTCTTTCAGCATTAAAATATTTTTATTAGCAAAACATTTATTAAATTTATTAACATCTTGAACTAAACTTAAGCCAAAACTGCCAGATTCTCAGGCAATAATAAAGGAAAATTTTAACTAGGCATAAAGACAGGCAATAAAGTCATATTCTTGTGTAAATATTAAAAATTAGAAATTAATGTTAAATTTAATTAAGTTTCTTAAAAAATTCTGAAAGAAAGGACTAACTGGAAGCAGAGATTAAATTAAACCCATTCTTAATTGGTAGTCTAAAAAATAGTCTGAAAAAAATCTGGTAATTCAGACTCAACTTTTGCTAACAATTTGAGTTTTGTGTATATAGTAGAGCATCAATTAACCAAATACCAATCAACTGAGACATCGGTTAACCGAAAGTGTTCCAGTAGGCAAATTCAAATTTCTGCTAGTGCTGTGATGTTGCAGCACTCTCCCCCTCCCTGCCAACCTAAACTGTAGGCCTACTTTAATGTACTACATTATGTAAGATATGTATTTGTAAGACGTGTGATACAAATTATATACTACAGTTTCGTGTTTAATATATTTTTTCATAAATGATCAGTTATCCGAACAACCCCAGTCCCGAATTGTTTTGGATAATCAATGCTCTACTGTATAAAAAAATATAAGATATTATATCTTATATTTTTTTACTCATTACATCACTCATTCCATATCTTTTGATATTTAGATTTGTTTTCCTTTTACACCTTTTTAATTTTTTTTTTCATTTTGGACACTTATCCCGTGGACACTAAGAGAGCTTTTTTCCATACCCATCATGGGTTTGACTTGAACTACAATGGGGCAGCCAAATGATGAGATGGGATCCAACTTATCTGAAACACACCACCTCTAAAAAATTCCTGGGATTCTCACTTGCTTGGATTCAATCTTGGATCCTCAGAGCTGTAGGTTGATGCTTTAACCACCTCAGCCATATGGCCAGCCCTCTTTTAATATTCAAATTTATTTACTTTTCTAATACTTTATATTTTTCAATCATCAGTCATTTTGTATTTTAATATTATTCAATATTTAAGTAAAATGCATTATTTCATTCAATACAACATGCAAAAAACAAAGTATTTTGTATTAATTTAATGATTATTTTCCCTTATTTTATTTTAATAGATAAATTCCAAGATTTATCCAAATTTAAATAAAATCATTCTTTAAAAGTCCATTTGTTCTTTAAAAGTTTGAAATTTCATTTTACAATCCATTGCACACTTTCCTCAACTTTCGTTACTTCTAATTATAAATATCTGTGAAGTTTGAGTAACAACATCTGAATAAATCATAAGAGGATTAACAGTTGAACGAGTGGGAAAATGCAGGAGATCATTTGATACTAATAACAATAAATTTATTATAAACAAATAAAAGGGATAATTACAATAAAATACAAATGATCAATAAAAATACAAATGACATAATAATGCAAATAAATGGAATTATAAACAATATAAGCTATGCCTATCCTCATGGAGATACCAGATTATCTATCTTACAAACTATACCTATCTTGCAAAGAGAGTTTACAATATTTCTAATGATTTATACTACCTTAACAATACTTTTCTTTGTTCATACATGTTAGATACATATGAGGAGAATCTTCTAATAGAACCAGTAGTTTTGTTGAACAGGGCGTAGTATGGCCAATTCAAACTGTTAAATTTGCATGGCAAATTCTCTTCCAGGAACTGTGCCTTATGTGGCAATTACTGGAGAACTGCCTGGAGTGGAGGGAATGTCCCTTTTATCCAAGTTAATGACCTAACAAACGGCCAGGTCACATGAGCGACCACTTCTGANTAGTTCATCAAAAAAAAAAAAAAAACATATCCACCCTGTCCAAGCAAAAAGAAACATGTCCATATTTTAATGTCATATAATAAAATACTAACCATATTCCTATCAAAAACTGCCTTCAAATATTGATGTTAGATACAAAATGAAAAAAATAAATTTTTACAGGCGTGAGGTGTAAAATAAATTCAATGAGTTAGATATGTTTTACAATATATATTAGAAATTTAGTTATTAAAAATAAGTAACTTACTTGAACAGTAATAAAATTTTCCTGTAACATTTTATATGTGTATTCTTTTGCATCTTTAGGTAACATTACTGATAAATCTTCAATTTGTTTCATTTCCAAATATCTTTTCATCAATAGTAATCTATACAAATAATGTTCAAGAATGTGTATTGGTAAATTAGTTATCTCTTGTCTATTCATATTTAACTATTTTTTAATAAATATAATTAATAGTAAATACAAAAGATATAGTTTTACAGAGATTAAAATATCTACAAAAATATTTTCATTATAGATTAAAATTTGACATAATTAATCAGGCTTACAAACAAAAACTATAGATATTAAATTTTTAAAAATTGTTATAAGCTTTATTATAATCTATATTTAACAGATTTATATTTAAAATCAACTGTATAATAGTATATAGATCTGACACTAAATAATTTATTATTATATACTACTACTATTATTAAGGAGTGTATTCTACTTGGCTTATATACCAGTAAGTCTTATCAATGTCAGACCAAGGTCAGGNGTCTTACAGAGATTAAAATATCTACAAAAATATTTTCATTATAGATTAAAATTTGACATAATTAATCAGGCTTACAAACAAAAACTATAGATATTAAATTTTTAAAAATTGTTATAAGCTTTATTATAATCTATATTTAACAGATTTATATTTAAAATCAACTGTATAATAGTATATAGATCTGACGCTAAATAATTTATTATTATATACTACTACTATTATTAAGGAGTGTATTCTACTTGGCTTATATACCAGTAAGTCTTATCAATGTCAGACCAAGGTCAGGACATAGCTATAGAAAAAATTATGATTTTGTTTATGTGCTCTTCACGTAATGTCTCTGTATTTACCGTATTTTCGTGGAATGACCAGCAGGCATCCATCTATCTGGAGGAGATCATGAAGTCAGATATTTCTGTAATGTAAAAACTGCCATACTGGCTCATCCTGGGGAATGCTGGCATGCTGATTTAAATGAGGCTCTACATCCCTCTCTAGAGGGTGCATTAAAAAAACAAACGAGTTACGTCACATAAAAATGAACAATTTTTATTCTAAAATTATGAAACTGTCAGCATTACATCAAAAACTACGATTATATGTTTAATTCCTTCATTTTGTCTTTTTTCTAAGGTTAAAATAATTTTGGAATTCCGAAAGTGCTTTTATTATGTGTATTTTATTGTTATTTGATTCAAAAACACAAATATAAACATATTAAATTTAAGAAACTTACTATAAATTATGTCAGCTTACATTGATTAACATCAGCTTTGTGTGAAATTTGAGAGAAAGGTGTTATTTTCAAGGTCAGGGTAGATGGTAAATGTATCCCACACTGACTAACTATTACTACTATTACTAAAGTCAATAAGTCATTAATTGTTTTATTGTCTTTGTAAATACAAACTCTCTTCCTGATTTTAAGTTGGTCAAATTACAACATTATTATTTTATTGTACTCAGAAGAATGTTTTCTTTAGTTGTTTACTGTCTGATTAATTTTATATTTTAGTCACAGTTTAGATGGCATGCCAGTAACCCCGGGGTTTCTGGCATGCAGGTCTCTTGTTTACATGTGTCATGCCAATCATTCTGCAAAAATATGGTAAGAATTTCCTGACTATTCGACATGTGTTTAGTATGACAGCCTTATCCAACCGGATATGTTGGCCCAACACCTGGCTGCCACATTGTAGGCCTAGCCAAGCCCATAATGGGCTTGCTAGAAAAGGCCCTCTTAGTGCCCACAGGGTGAAAAGAGTTAAAAAAAAAAAAAAGTATGACAGCCTTCTGTAGTGTGATGTATGTGTTGTTGTAAAGCCCTAATGTTTCTAGACTTTTGAGTAGTTATGTGATAAGAAGCCTATGCAAGAAAGAACTATTGGCATAAAAAATATTTTAGCCATTCTCTACAGACACTATTTTGTGGGCAAGTTCTGGGTACTTACTAATTTTTTTCAGTTTTTGTATTTTCTATTCTGAATGTTTGAAACAGCAATGCCTATGAAGTTTTGTTTTGTTTGTCAATGAATGTGATGTCTACGTTTGTGGTGTTATTATTATTAAAATGAATACATCTATCAGAATGAATGTACAACCTATATCATGAATTTGAAATAAAATTTTATATACATGGCTTACAGAATCCAAATTACATGAAGCTAATTACACTTCTATCCAAAGAACAAATATTCTATCTACCACTCAAACCCTAAGCACTTAATTATTGTCTTGTACCCAGTAAAAACTGTTTTTTACAAAAATTGCAATGCCAAAAGTTGGTTGTGAATATGACTATTAATGATAAAAACAAAAGATCAAGAGTTAGAGTTACAAGTTAATCAATTACCATTCACTGTATTTTTAGTATGTGAACACTTATAATGTGTTTAACTTCTAACTCTAATTCTTGATTTTTGGTCACGAATACAGCTGTAAATAACAAATAAAAACAAATATATATAGAAAAAAAACCAATCACCACAGATATCACTTAAAACACTATAAAACAATTTTATTTTTATTATTTGTGAAGGTGCCATGCAAAAGCAAACAAATCCACAATGCTTGAAGCAGATGATCCAGAAAAAGAAGAAAATAACGGAAACCTGTGTGATTGTTTGGGAGAAGACATTTATTGTTCATCCCTGTTTTGTAAAATGCCATGCTTTTTGATAAGTCAAAGTAGTAGCCAGTATAACAAAGCAAAAAAGAATATAGTGGCTAAGCAAAAGAAAACATATCCTAACATAGTTCATGCAAAAAAAAAAAAAAAACATATCCACCCTGTCCAAGCAAAAAGAAACATGTCCATATTTTAATGTCATATAATAAAATACTAACCATATTCCTATCAAAAACTGCCTTCAAATATTGATGTTAGATACAAAATGAAAAAAATAAATTTTTACAGGCGTGAGGTGTAAAATAAATTCAATGAGTTTTTTGCATTTTTCCAACAATTGTTTAGAATGGACTTGTTTGCTTTTGCATGGCACCTCCACATTTGTTTATCCTATTAGAAATAACTTTTTCCCACATATTTTATAGACTGTCTAATCTGGCTCTATTCAGGTTCTACTAGATATTGGCATATTTTACTTCCATATTGTTACCTAGAGAGAAGCATATCATATAGAGAGCATATAATAGAAAGCACACTTCTATATAATCAATTTAATCTATACTAATATTATAAAAAGTTTGTAAGTTTGGATGTAGGGGTAATCTCCGAAACTACTCATCCGATTTCAAAAATTCTTTCACCAATATTTAAAATGGAACTTCAGGGTGGACATAGGATGTATATTATTCCGTTAAACATTCATATAAATTAAAAGATATCATCTAGGTTAAGGCTTTTATGCCCAACAGATGGCACTACGAGTATGACGACCTAAGTTTGCTTTTCTGTGAGGCATTATGCTTTCCTGTGAGGATGAACTAAAGCAGATCATCTTGTATTTATCTATATAAATAAAAATGTAATGTTTGTTTGTTCTTACTGATTCCTTTGAAATTTTGACACAACGCTGCATTCAAATACGCACATGTTTTTATATAATATACATGTTGAAATTCCCCCCACTGGGGGGGGAGATGGTTAGGATTAAGGCTTACCGTAAAGAACTCTGCTTCTATTTATACTATTTTAGATGCAGTTTTTTGCATTTTTGATTGTGATTTAATAGGGTACGTCAACAGAATATACACTAAAAAGAGATTTTTCGAAAAATTCCCCCCATGGGGAAAGTGTTATACATTTATAATAGATACATTTTGAGTCACAACGACGCCTGGCGGGGTCTGCTAGTCTGTTGATAATTTGGTTACTTTAATCATGTACATAAGCATATAAAAATGGATTTCAAATATTAAATAGTTTTCACTTTGATATAAGAACATATGGAATAAAGTCAAAAATAAACCAAACTTTTAATATAACTTTTATTACCTTAATAGTACAAGTATTTACAGAAGACTACTTTCAAAATAAGCATCTTATACTCGAAACATCTCTGCCAACATTCATACCATTTATTTGTCTTGTAGCCTATTCTGCATTACCTCTTGTAAAAGGCCTAGCACATTAAGAGTTTGTTTTCAACAACAGACCCATTAAAATGAAGTCTAACATTTACATTCTTGGTCACCTCTATGATGAATAACATCAAAACTCCTTCATCTCTGGCAAGTAAAAAGCTATATTCTCCATCACAATAGTGCTCTAGCATATTGCATTCTCCTAGTTAGTGAATATCTGACAAAAAACCAGATACCAGTACTTCAACAGCTGCCTTAGCCACAACTTCATTCTCACAGACTTTCATGTTTTTACCAAGATGAAAGCTCTACTCAATGATCACAGATTCAAATTTTCATAAGACAAAAACTGTTGCAAACATTTACAAAAGTATGTAGCTGTACAAAATGCTTATTTTAAAAGTTATGTGTAAATATTTATACTATTAATGTAATAAAAGTTATAAGTTTAGTTTATTTTCAACTCTACAGCAATATTTAAATGTTGTAGAAGTACAATTTTTATACAGCATTTAAACTATATATAATTAAATATAAATAATTTCTCACTTCTCATATATTACATAAAATTCAGAACAGGTATAGTGACAATATCTAAAATTGTAATATATGTTAATAAATTTGTTCTTTTAAATTAAATTAAGGTAAGTGCACACTTGGGCAGATAAACAGGACAGACAAAGCATATGGAACAGATCAGTGTGCACACACTTAGTCAGATTGCACTGATGGATTGAATGGAATTTAGAGCAGTGGTGTCCAAACTATGGCACTTGGGCTAAATTCAGCCATGGCATGCATTAATCCAGCTTGCAAACATATTTGACATATCACTTATAATAGAAATAAGCCTACTTTTGGTATATGTGGATATGCAAAATATTTGTGGGCCATTTACCTATGACTTATACACAATTTGGCCTGCCAATCAAACAGTTTGGGCACCATTGATTTAGAGAAAGAAAAAGTGTTCAGATGAGACATTTATTTTGGTAGGAATAATGTCCATGAAGAATTAGTAGTACTGAGCTGCATTTTATTAGAAGAGGATACTGTAAATTATATAATTCTTCATAGTTTTGCACTATAGAAATTAAAATTGAATCTGCTATGGCAAGGAAAATGTGCACAAATAACTATCACTGAAAAAAATAAAAAAAAAGTAATAATAATAGTACAGCAGTAACTTGTTCTTCGAACAACTCTGACTTCAAATGCTTCAGGGTTCAAGTGCTAAATTTTACAAAAATTCACTTTGGAGTTCAAACTGCTCACAGAATGAAAAAATGTGCTCAAAGCATAAATGCAATCTGTTGTGCACACAAGTTCTTCCTCATCCTTGCATTACACTTATCTGTTTTTAATCATAGATGTCTGCAGAAAATTTGGATACAAATAATTACATCAATAAATTGTTAAATCGTTATTTATTTATTTAATTTTTTGGGTGTTTTTCACAAGTAGATTATAGAATACAGTATTCCATCAATACAAAAAGATAAAGTGTCCCATGGTCAAGGATGTAAGATTACATATCTCAATATGTTTATGATTATAATTTGTGGAATTTTTTATTTAATCCCTGGGGACAAGTGAACCATCTACCCTCCTCTGTGGACACTCATGTTTACAATGCGTTTTTTGTTTTCTTTTTGGCATATTTGGTTTCATATAATGTGTGTTATTTGTTGACTTTTAACAAATTTTTCCTGCAATTTTTCTTCATCAACAGCTTTTGGATGTCCCATATATTTTGTATCCTTTAGTTTAGGGGTTCCCAACTTGTGTTCCACAAACCCTAGGGTTCCACAATAAAATCTGTTGAGTCTACTGATGTATAAATGAGGCAATGCAGATTTGGGATTTGAGGTGTAATTGTTGTAGTCCTTACGACATCCTAAACCAATACTAGAGTTATTTATAGCTTTATAAACAGTGGAGACCAATTTATCATAATGGAATAAACCAAAATCATGATATAATGTTTGACAAAGTAATAAAAATCATAAAAACAGTAAAACTTAACCTAAAGCTATGAAAAAAAGTATCCAAGTTAAAAGTATCCAATGTGTAAATAATAGTGCAATTGCTAAATAGGCTTTAATTCATCGATATCTGCAGTGCAAACCTATTGAATCTAATGACAGGAGTGGCCAGTTAGATGTCCAATGGTATTGTGCATAATACGATACTAGTGACAGGACATTCACGTCAGACAAGTGTGACGTGTTGCAAGGCAGTTAATTAATGTTCCATAATCTGTAGTTTTTTGTAGCATAACAGTATAGTGTACAAGATGGCATATCAATCAAAGATTATTAGTGTTTTGCACTGCAATTGTTTTGTAATATTTTAAGTAATTTTCATAGAAAGTTTAGTAGAAATAGTATAAATTTATAGTACTTTTAGTACTGTGTATACCCTGAATTAAAAATTCATGGAGCTTTGGCTGAGAGAAGAGCTTTGAAGAAAAATGTAGCAAGTACTTCAAATGTTTCTAGTGACAAGTCTGAATATTTTCTAATTGTTACAACATAGTTCCATGTACCAAAAATTTACAAAGAAGTTGTACAGCCAGAATTGATAAATAGAAGGAACTATCAATTAAAGCCAAAAACCTTTGGAAAATGGAGAAAGTATTTATCCACCCTATAATCCTATCCTCCATGGGTGTAAACTCATGGATCAAAACTCATCTAAAAACCTTAAATACCGTACTATTGATAAATATTTATCTTATAAGATTAAGAAAGCTGTCATTCTAGAATAAATACCTGTAGTGTCTTTAGATGATTTTTCAATGAACACTAAGTAATTTGTTGCGACCCTGCAGCTTGATACCTGCATGCTCAAGGCATTTACAATATACACTGCCTTTGTAATGAGAAACGAAATTAATGAATAACAACAACAACAACAATAACTGATATATAAATCTATTTTGGCCTAGACAAATACAAAACATTTCACCCATAAAAAAACTTGCAAAAAAGAATGACCACTTGAAAATGGAATTATCATTAAATCCATAGATGAGAGTAAGATATAAAAATGTTTAAGATTACAACAGACCAAGCTCCCAAAACACACAAAATAAAACAGGCTATAACAGGAAATACAACAACAGATTAAATTCAATGATAAAATTCAGCTTAATGTAAAATGTGCATTTAAAACAAGAAACATATATTTTACTAATACTTACATATTCATTTGCAGTTATAGATTGGATGTGAACAAAACTACAGCTACCCCAGAAGAAAACAAAATTAAAACATATAAACAAATACAATCCTAAATTAACTGGAAAAAGTTGACTATCTCATAAGCAGGGAGAATGAGGCCTCAGATATTTCTCATAACTCTCATAATACTCATAACAAATAAATATATACATTATAAGATTATTTCCACAGAAAACAAGAATCATTATAATTACACAAATCTGTAACTCTAACAAAAATAATATACCATTAAATTGTAAACAAAACTAATCTGAATGAAACTGATATAATACAATATATAAAAGACATATCCTCAAAACAAACTGGGTATGGAAAAAACTCTATGATAAGCATCCTAACAATCTTAGCCAAGGATCATATCAACAGAACTGTGTCAAACTGCTGACTAGCTCAAATATGTCTCTTTAGAGAGACAAAAGAAATTATGATTGTCATACAAGATAAGGTCACAAATACAAAAAAATTATAAAATGTATATTGTAGAAGAAACAACACTTATAGATAATACATGTAAGAATGCTGTATCATTCCCAAAACTATAAAACATATCACATTGAGTTGCAAGCTTTTAATACAAATGGTCTACTTACATTGACATAACCAAATAAATGTAAAATATAAAAAATTTGCACACAAATTATTACATACCCAGCTACTATATTACACACACATTGTAGACAGTCTTAGATAACAACATACTATGATTGAGCCACAATCACAGACAAAACAATCTATTGCAAAAACCAGATATTATATTCATTGACAAAGAAAACACACATCATAGATATATCCATTTTAAACACCCACAACATACAAAATACATACACCAAAGAAGAAGAAGAAAAAGAAAAAATTAGTAACTATTACTCTCTTCTACAGGTATCATGTCATATATACTACACAAAAGTCTAGAGACATCAGTTCTTAATAACAGAATGTGCATCATATCAGAGAAAGCAATGAAACTAAATGACAAGTGTTTAGTACAGAAACAATTTTTATTTGTGTGCTGTTGATGTAGCTGTAATTAAGAATTTCCTGATTATGTGACATCAGGAAATTCTTAAATACAGCGAGTGATTGGTTAACAAACACTTTCGCAAAAGATTTTTATGTTTGGACAATGAACACATGTTTGGATAACAAACACTTCACAATTAAGTGAAATTTGTTATAATTGTTATCATCATCGATCAAAGTTAAGCTTCAAACACAAGAAGAAGCTATGTAAAATAATGAATACCAATTGTCTTCCCTTGTCTTCAGGCAACAATTTGAAACTTTTTGGAGTGCGGGAGACGTTGACATCGATGCTCAACCCAGCATATACTAATCAGATAGTATTCATCTGAACTTTGAAACTCTCCCTTATAATTCCAGCCTTTTATTTTTCTCACAGAAACAATTCTTTTCTAGTATTTGCGAGACTGTCGGGCAGGCACTCATTAAGTTTTGCATCAGTTTTTATTTTTAAAAGATGAGAGTATAATAGCAAAGATAGAGAGTGGGAAGATGATGTCTGATATTGCTGGGTAATATGAATGGCTTGAACAGGTCTATAGCAGGCCACAGTTCAATCTTATCTAAGAAAGATACTGTATTATCAAGAAGACTCAAGCAGCTTTAAGAGTAACAAAAATCACATCTGAGAAATAAAGAATATTAAAGAGCTCAAAATAGAACCTTAAACTTGAAATTCAGATAGTGAACAAAGTCTTGCAACGAATTATGTTCATTAACTGATCATCCACTGTACAGCTACATCAACAGCACACAAAAACTGTTTCTGTAGTTAACACCCTGATTTTGTTACAACATAGAATTAAGTATCAATATCAACAGAATAAGGCAGTGATTCTCAAAGTGGGGGTCGTGAAAAATATTTGAGGGGATCACAGAAAAATTGATGACAGATCAATTTTTTCCAAATATTTTATAAATTTACTATGGATTCATGTTTAAAAATAGTAGATTCTTTTTGGCTTAGTGTGAAAGCAGAGTATCCACTACTCTCTAAATTGGCAATGGCAGTTCTCTTACCATTTGCAACCACTTATTTATGCGAAATGGCATTTTCAGTAATGACCAACATCAAAACAAAGCAGCACTCTCGTCTTTGCAACATAGAAATCNAAGTTGTAATTGTTTTTGTGAGAATACTTAAACATTTCTGCTTTAAGCTTTTGTGACTCTTTTTGAATTTTGGGATTATGAAAATCTGTATTTTCATCACTTTCCAGATTACTACATAATGAGTCATCTGATTTGTCTAAACTTTCAATATATTTTTCCATGTAGAGATTAGGGGCTTTTTTCTTTTTTGGTGCTCTACATCCTTTTCTTCCCTTTGCAGATACTTTTCCTGGTGTTTTTGTAAGATATTTCATAGGCAATTTTACAAATTCATCACTTGATGAATTATCATCATCATCTAAATTTAATTTACTGATCTTCTCAGCAATTGAGGACATTTCTGAAGATACATTTCCACAAACATTCAATATCCTTTTACTCTCATCTTTTTGTTTAAATACATATTGAAGGGATATAAAAACTTTTTGTAATGTTAATTCTGAGAATAAATCTGCATAGATTATTTCATGAATTTTAGATGATTTATCTAGTTGAATAAAAGCATTATTCAGATTATTGAGTGCAGTACTGAATTTATTTTGTGTTGCATTAAGAATTGCTAATTTACATGAAACACGGCAAAATAGAGAAATGTCTGATTTCATCACTATTTCATTTTTATTTTCTATCATTCCTTTTTTATCTTTCCAAAAAATAAATGGTAAGATTGATGTAAATACATTTTTTCGTTTTAATAATATAATTTCATAATACTTTAAAATATCAAGAAATATTTTTTCTTTCTTATCAAAAGAATAGTGATTGAGAGATGATTGTAATTCCATTAATTCTAAAAATTGATAATGGAGGGCTATGTATTGGCAAATTTCACAAGAACATGATGTTGGATGATTAAAAAATGATGGAATTATAATATTTTGTTTTCTCTGTTGTGGTGGTGATGATTGAGGATCTTCAATGTTTAAAAACACACTACGCACTTCTGCTTTCAAACGTCTTCCAGACTTATTAAAAATAAATAATTCTTTCTCCTGTTCTTTCTCTACAACATTTTCTTCATTGTGTGAATATATTCCTTCAATGATATTTTCAAATCCAATGATGCTTATATTAAAATTCAAAATATTTTTCAAATTTATTATCTTTGTATTACAATCATCATAATTTTCACATAATAAGTCCAGTTGTGCCAGCAATATTAAAATACTTATTGTTCTGTAGAGAAAGAAGAAAATTGTATTAAATTTAATCATATTTTGAGAAGACAAAGAAATCTAGATAAAGAATTAACCTATTTGCCAAAATAATTCCTTGTGCAACTGTAAAGCTTTCTTGTAAGAAACATTGAGCTTCTCTTGGTGCACCAATCATTACATATAATTTTCCCAATAATAAACTTGATTCTATAAAAGTTCTATATAAATATGGCTTATACCATGGAGAATCTAAAATATAAATATAACATTTGTTTAGAATTAATATTTAAAATAAAACTATTCAAATGTAAAATTTACAAATAATTAACTCATAATTTTAATTTGTAAAATTCATTGAAAGTATCTAGCAATAATAAATCAAGATAATTAAATGAAAAAAATATTCCTAAATACTTTCAATAGAAAAATCACAATTAAAAGTTAGTGTAAAATAGACAAAACTACTGAATTACTATGTATGCACATACATGCACATATCTATTTTTTTAATTTCATTTTATAAAACTAATTCTAATATTTAGTGGCAATTTGATATATTACAATAGTAAAAAATTTCTTATATTCAAACAATTAGTTTCTTTTTTTTTACAAAATTTATATACTGGATGTATTTATATACTTTAGATTTTATTTATATATTAATACTACATTTTCATGCAGATAACTCATATAATTCTTTAAATACTCCAACTTCTTTGTGTATCTTAACAGTCTTGAAGGTATACTATTGATGAGCTTTAAGTGAAAACTGTATTTATACATCCTAAAATGGATGTTTAAAATACAGTTTTCACTTTTAAAAAAAATTTTAACTCTTATTTCTCTCTTCAAAGGCAAACGAGCTTTTGAATCCAGAATATACACATCAAAATAATGTCATTAATTCTACATTAATTTAGAAAAATTGTTCTTAGTGTTCTTACTTCTTCAAAATCATGATGGTAGTTCTGATTTAAAATTTATCAAATAAATGAATCTATTGTGATAAAAAAAATTTGATATTAGAACTGTAACAATTAGATCCACTGCAATCTAATTTATAATATGACTAAAAATAAAAATAAATACTTTGGATGCAAGATGAAGAGTTGTATAAATATGATTCAATTTAATGAAGAGTTGTGTTTATGAAATTTTAATTAGTTTTAAAGATGATAATATTTGCAGGCCTGGAGTGCCATTTTCCCTCTGAAAAAGTGAGAAAAGTGAATTGTAATACAGAAACAGTGAGTAAAAAGTGAGTGTAATAGTGACAAAACAAAGTGAAAACATAGAAGGAAAACTCAGTTAAATAGCAGTAAAAGTTATTTTTTTCTTTTTATTCTGTTATGGTTAAATGTGTTTTAAAAATTTCTGTATATACTGTAATACAGTATCCACTCAATATATCACGAATTCGGATATATCACATTTTTTTGGTTCTACAAATTTTAAAATACCAAATACCATCAAATTTCTGTTTGCAACAAAATACAGTATTCATATTTCTACCATTGTCCTTGAAACTACCACTAAAGGTGAAACAATAAATTCATCAAGATCTAAATATGCAAAACAGGTAGATATATAGATATATCAATTGTAATTTTATATGTTTTGATTGTTCTATTATATGTTTTAAAAATTTATTATTAAATTTTATCTATTTATAATTTTAAAATCTATTTTATCTATTATCTATTTATAATTTTAAAAAGTAAATATGTTCCATATTTACTTTTTAAAATTTTCAATTACAGCATTTATAATTGTGACAATCTCCTTCCATAATCCTGTGATTCTCCTTCCATAATCCTAATCCCCAATTTTAAGGTTATAAATTTTTACATCCTGTAAAACTGCTCTGTCACGTAGCACTTTTACAAGAAATGAGGATGTTTTGCTTCCTTTCTCCACGCCTCGTATCTTAGAATTGTGCACACCACCTGCTAAAATGTCATAACCCATTTCTTATAATCATGACATTGCAAAAGATGGAAATAAAAGGGCTGGATTTCATACACTCGGGGCAGTTCATCCCCAACTAGCCATAGGGAGTTCGTTCAAATTGGTGCTATAGCAAAGTGCTCCTCATCCCTGGTTCAACCTGTCCGCCCAACTCCACTCTGCAGGAAGAGAATCTATAAGGTACAAGATCCCAACATGAACAACGAGGTAAATCTAATGTAAAACTCTCTCTCTCGGGCTTATTCTAAATAACATAGAGATAGGAACTATCCTCACATAGGTATTCCATACTGTTATTATATGGTATTATTCCTTTGTATCCAATATATTGTAGTATTGTTAGTAATAATTAAATTGTTAATTTTATATTTAATGTCCTTCTTGTCTGGTATTCGTTCTTTATGCGCAAACCCACACAGGATCTTACCACTCGGGTTCTGTTAAAAATTAAGCCATCCAGTGACAAAGTGAGCAGGTCTAACTGATCTGACGATTAGAGGGCCTGGACCCTCGTCCGTATTCTCACATAATTTTTACTGAAAAACATAAATTACACAAATTTTTAATAAGCGATTTATTTTGAAAATAAATTGCTTATTAAATACTGTATAATAAAATTGTAACTGATATTTTGTTTTTATATCGACAGTATTTATCTTTAAATGTCACTGTTAAAGAAACAATGCTAAATGGGCATTGGTGGTATCGATGTTTACATAAACTTCAATTAATACGATATAACCAAGAATAAAATTCAATATTGAAAAACTAAGCTTATTTTATATCAAAATCATTTGCTGATGAAAGAATAGAGGATAGAGATTGCATAGCATGTATAAACTGTTTAATATAAGCCCAGAATTTTTAGTACAGTAGCACCTCAGGAAACAAAATTAATCCGTTTCGAAACTGAGATTGTATCATGAAAATGTTGTAAGGTGAATCATTTTTCCCCATATGATTACATCCGTTCCAACACAAAAACACACCCAAATTAAAGCTAAGTAGTACATTGGAAAAAAATAACTTTAGTAAGGAAAACACTGAAAAATGCATTTTGTAGTTGTAAATGTATAAATAATCATAACAGAATAATAATCGAATAAAAAAAATGTAGTTTTATTTGCAGCCTTTTGAGGATAGACGATGGTGGAGGTGTAAACTGGTGGCGGAGGAGAGGGAGAAGGGAAATGATACTAAAACTTAACTTACATAACATAATGTAACAATAACTTAAAAATAACTTAACACTAATTTTTTAACTTTTCTGTTTTATATATATATATATTTTTTTTAATTTTTTATTCACTGCTTTTTGCTTTCTTTCCTTCACTTCCACCAGCACTTTCACTGGATAGAGGTTGCTTGGTAAAATATCTATCCAAAGAAGTTTGGCTTTGCCTACTTTTTAAAATGTTTCTAAAATGACTTAGGCAAATGTCATTATTCTGAGCAGCAATACAGCCAGTGTGAACCTTTTTGGGATGTTTCTTTTCAACAAAATCAGTCACTTTCTGATAATACCTCAAGATTTCCTTTATCGAGCGAGATCCTTCCACGACGAAGCAAACAATGGACTGAGACCAATGAACAGAAGTGAATGAAAAATGGCGCTGTGAACTAATGTAATGTTGTATGGTGAGATTTTGTTCGAACTGTGGAGCAAAAATATGTTCGAATTTCATGTCGTATCCTGAAAATTTCGTATGCTGAAGCATTTGTATCCTGAGATATTACTATACTTGGTCATATAACGCTTTTTCTTTGTCTCCAGACAAGTGTGATATAACAAGAAGCTACAGTAGAGCATCAATTATCCAAATCAATTGGTGACTGGGGTTGTTTGTAAAACTGATTTTTCAAATAACCGATTATATACAAAAAAATATATTAACCTATCCCATGTTGAAATTAAGTCAAATCCTGGCACGTCCTTAAGTACCCTCTCATGGTCACACCAGTGCTGCCTGCTAAAACACGCACATCAACAAAAATAATATTGGAGTAGTCCAAGACATAGCCAAAGATTGCAGCACCACAGCACTAGTAAAAATTTAAATTTGCCGACTGGAAAGCTTTCAGTTAATTGACATTTGGTTAATCGATGCTCTACTGTACTTTATTTCCAGTAAACTATAAATACTTAAGTCTTTGGCATCTGTAAATAATCAGTAATGAAAAATGATGTTCTTTCATTCTGTTTATTTTACATGTTTTCAGCTTCCTTCTTTTTTGGTTCCTCTTGCTTTTGAACACTTTTAACACTAACAAGCATTACATGTGCTGCCCATACTTCATTCATGTTCTTGCTGTTAATGGCCTTCTTCAGTTTTTTTTTTTGTTTGCTCTTTTAACAAAACTTGGTCTTATTTCACTTTCTTCTACTTTTTTATGGTTTAAGCACTCTTTCCGACATTGATGCTCTATCAGGAGGAAGTGCGTGGCATGAAATTGAAAATCCCCATTCTACATCAGCATTGCCATGAGAGAGGGTCAATGCTGATTTCACTAATTTGGCTACATTGGGACATCTATCATTATCAGAAACTGTTTATTGTTTAATGCTTTGAGATGTGTAAATATTGATTTCAAAATAAATTAATAAATCTGAAATAAACAGATTTCAAATAGTATAAGTAAAATAGTTTTATTAATGATTTCATAAATAACAAGGAACTTTTTCCTGCAGATGAATAAAAAGCAACATCGCTAACCTTTTAGGAAGCATGTAAAGATTTTTCCTACCAACAATCAGGTGTTTTACTTTTTACAATACTTAAAATTTACCAAATAAATTAAAAGATTCGATGTGTAAATATGAATTTACATTTTCGTTTACTTTTTTTAGTCTCAATTAATGCACACTTATTAGGCACAAGAGAAGAGATTAAAAAATGGATATTTTACAAATAAAGTAATCATACATTTTATGAAAATAATACTTATTACATGGAAAAATTATACTTTTAGTCAATTTACACATACATTTAGGAATATATAGATGTGATTAAATGTTAACAATATGCTATGAAATCATTAACCCTAGATAATTAATCATTCATCCACACGACGACACACTTCCGCTTGAAAGTGAAATTCAGAAACTTTCACGTGCTTCCTGCCGGTCATTCTTTTTCTACCTTAATAATTTGAATAAACAGTGCAGTGTGTGATGTAATTGTGTTCACACATCAATTAGAAATTGACTTACACCCATCCCGTAGTCCACTCGATGAAAGTTTAGTTACTACGTAACTTTGTTGCAAAGGCATGCACATTATGTAGATTGTTATGGCTGCAGATGTAAACAGTTAGTAGTGATATATGCCATTCCCTATTTGAAAAAAGGTACTGATCCTCAGAAACAAATATTGGCTAATTTTCATAAAGGAAATAACATCTATTTTACATGGAACAAACTGTAACATTACTATGGATAACAGGTTCACATCTGTATCTTTGGCAGATGAACTATTGAAGTCACCTAATAATTTGACCTTAGTTGGCACTCTTAGAAGTAACAAAGAGAAATTCCTGAAAAATTAAAAAATTCTAAATCACGCGCTGTTGTTACTTCAATATTTTGTTACGACAGAAATAAGACATTAGTTTTGTACAAAGCCAAGTCAAGTAAAGTTATGTTTTGTCAACTATTTATGATCAACTTAACATCAATGAAAATACAGGAAAACCACAAATAATACATTTTTATAATAGTACAAAGGATGCGGTAGACAAAGTAGATCAAATGTGTTCAAATATGAGTCAAAACAAAAAGATGGCCACTATGTGTGTTTTATAATATGCTAAACCTATTGGCAATCAACAGTTATGCTATCTATGTCTCTAATAACGTTAGAAACAAAAAAAACCAATATCCCTGTGGGATTTCTTTATGAAGATGGGAGACAAACTCGTTCAGCCCCGGGTACAACAGTAGTTACAGACAGTGCCTTTGAGGCGTGATATCAGAACCATGATACAGGATATTCTAGGTGATGCGCCCAGTATAGAAGCTTCTACTCATTCTGCATCAAATCCACATAAAATATGCTATTTATGTCCATAGAAAGCTCAATGAATGACAAAACACTGTTACATGAAATGCAAAAATGCATTTTGCAGCCCCCATAATGTTAACATATGTAGCAACTGTGTGTAATCTTATTTCCTAAATATTTTGTCCTTATTTAGTTCCTATTTATCCATACTATTGTGCCATGTAACAAGTTCCTATTTTTATTAAACAATTTTGTTGATATTAATGTTTTTTAATGCATAGTCCACTCAATGGTTTAGTTTCTGCTCAAGTTTAGTTATCTAGGTTTAGGGTCCACTCAAGTTTAGTTATCTAGGGTTAAAATAATTTTATTCTATTTAACTCAAGTTTATGAAATTATTTAAAGATAAATAAAGTAAAAAATATTCTTGTAAACAACAACTCCATAACCCAATTGTTAATTAAAACCAAATAATCTGCCAAATTATTGGGCTATAACAAGAATAATTAAATGGTCAGAAACAAAATAATTTATCTAGAGGTAGGAGGTTACACCACTAATTTTGTGTTAATTTTAATAATTATCATATATAACACTTCATGCCAGTGTTCAAATAAATAAAATAATTAACACTTCAGTGTTGTGGTGTTGCAAATTGTGACTTTTTACATTTTAGACATATTTGCTAGCACTTTCAATAGCTTATAGCTACTGTCCTCAGGCGGAAAATTGAATACAATTATTTTCAAATGTTCTGCTTTTGAACATATTTTTGAAATTATCTAATGCATGTGGATGGAATTTAGAATAAATCGATTTTAAAAAATGAAAAATATTCGAAATTTATAAAAATGTACTGCAAATGATGTAATATCCCCAAAAATACTTAAAAAGCAATAAAGTAAGCGGTATTTGGTTATGGTACAAATGAGAATGCAAAATCATAATTTAAATTGTTTGAATAATATTATCCACAGTCGCAGGATTTCTAAGGTCAATGTATTGCATGGTGTTACAGTGGATATATAGGGGTTTTTCCATATGAATAATTCTCTTTGATCGTTGCACCACTTAAGTAATTTTGTTTGTGCCCAAAGCTGTAGATAATTTTGGTCTAGTAATAGTACCTTTTAATAGACCAACAATGGAGTTAGCTAAAAAGGCGCATTGCCAGTTAACTACCCAGGACTCTTCCTAATCTTCATTTCCAGAACTATTAATTTAAATATAACCTACTAGTTACTCATAGCACCAACTGGAAATGACTTCAGTGCCCATGGCTAATTGTTTTTGGAATATTTGACAGAACATAAACTTTTAATAAAATTTAATATTTTTCATTTTTTCTACTCTGTGGGCACTAAGATTACTACNTTAATAAAATTTTATTAAAATTTATTAGAAGACACTCTGACAGTTCTCTTGTAAGAGGAAGTTGCGGTTTTGAGTCCCATTCAGGGCCAAGTATTTTCTTCCAGAAAATTCTAGGCTGATAGTCTGATAATTTGGCAAATCGTTTGGCTTTAAAATTATTTTCAATTGGTCCCACATCTTAATTGAGCACATGGAAATGATCAAAAAAATGAGATAAGTGAGAAAATGACCTGAAAGGTGAGAAAAGTGAGGATACTTCAAAAAAGTGAGTACAAGTGAGAAAAGTGAGTGACTCCGAGGCCTGTATTTGTAACCAGTATACCTAATAAAGAACATTAAAAGATACATTGAATAAAAATTATTCAGTAAGGAAGGGTTAACAATACATTGGCTGAAGTGATGCTACACAAAAAGTAGAAATACAAAGGAATAATAGTTATGAATAAAAAAAAATCTTCCTGTCTATAGTACAGTGCAAATTAATGGAAACAAGGCAAAAAATCAAAAAAGAAATACACATTTTTTACACATTTTATTTTTTATTTGCTTTTTTTCCACTAATTTGCACGATATTACACATAACTTAAAATTAGTGGCAGTCACAAGATGTTTTAAATAAAAGGAAAAAAGTCAAATATGGATCCCTGGATCTAATATTTAAATTCATAAAGACATTTTTTTTTGTCCTCTATGTTTTTACTTTTAAGGTATTTTTATATTTTAAATTAGTTTATCATTCAATTTTTTTTTTTTTTGGTTTATTTTATGTCTCTAAAGATGACACTGCAAATATTTTGAACAACATTTAATCAAAATGAACTTCTCGATTCCTAGAAACTAAGTGTGATTATTTAAATCATTAGTTAAAATGATCACACTTAGTTTCTCGATTCCTAGAAACTAAGTGTGATTATTTAAATCATTAGTTAAAATGGGGTTAAATTCATCACAGTGGATTTATTTACAGTCTGTAACTAAATACATCATTTCAAAATTTTTTCTCAAGATAATGAAATATATTTTTTAGGAATTAATTGTCAAATTGATAAATATAAACAAATAATTTTTGAAGAATAAATTCCATACATATATATAAAAGTTAAAACACTTGCTAACTACTAAATGACTACATTTGAAACAGGATTAAGATAATTAACAAATTACTGAAGAATGAGAGAAAATGTATTTTTTTTAACCTCTTCTATTAATGAAAACCAAAAAATCTATTTTAAAAAATTTTGTTTATAAAATATATACTGTTTACAACTATAGATATAATATATATATTTTGTTATAAAAAGTATGTAAAGTTTTAATTTCTATAAAATTTTCTATATGGTATACAAAATAAATTTTAAGAAAATTTCAGATGAAGAATAATGTTGTTATTCTCCTTTTCTATTAAGATTAAGAATTGGTGATAACCATTCACTCAGTATTAAATAAGAGTCCTGGATTTTATGTTTAAAGTTGAATAAACATTATTAGATTTTTTTTGTTCTGTTTGTTCAAAATTAAATTCTCAAATGGATCCAATATTGTCAAGAATAACAATATTGGATTAGGAATTCATACAATGAATGACAGTTTATTAACAGAATTTTTAATTTTGTTCTCATATGATCAATATAAAGTACTTAAATATATTCAATGTTCTTATTTTTATTTTTAACCTTCATTCCAAAATTTTCAGTTATATTTGCATTACTATATTCACATCTCAATATTTATTCTAAGTACATTAAATGATTTATACAATGTATCTTATATTTTATGATTTGAAGTTAGTATAATTTAAAAAAAACTTTATTTTTAGTAAAAGAAACAAATGTTTTAATTTAATATTAACAATATTAAAAATTAGAAATATTAATAAAATATTTTCACTCAGTTATAACATACTTTGCCTTTATAGACAGTTTATTCTAGTAATATGAAGGTCATAAATTTTATACATACCTTTATTAATCATTGCTGTGTTAATATCAGCAATTGAAAAATGATTCAGAAGCCCTAAACATAACCCTGTACTTTCTATAGCTAAATTAATTGGTGTATTAGTTTGCATTAAATTAAATGTGCATTCATCTTTTTCCAATGTAATTGAAAATACTTTTGGGGAGAGTAAAAGATAAAAACTTGCTAGCTTCTTAGCTTCTGCCATTAAAAGAGTATTAGTTTTAGTATGACGTTGTAGAAATGATGATGACAATACTTCACTTAAAATTTGTATTCCAATGGTATACTGAAATTGGAATTTATTCTCTTAGAATTTTAAATGAATAAATAATAAATATTACATATCAATAAACTAAGAATTTTTATCCATTATAATTAATTATTTTTACTTTAAATTTAACTTCTTTTAAAATTTATTCAGATTTTATTTGATTAAATTTAAAAATTTTTAAAAATACTTTAAGAGCTTGAAATGGTACAATAGAAAATTAAAATAAAGGTTTTAAAATCCAGGATGAAATATATTCATACAATATTGAAGACAAAATACAAAAGCATTTTTAAAATCTTACTGACTGTCCATTCACAATCCAGTAGTGTTAAGTATGTTCCAGTAATTGTGAATGGATATTCAGTAAGACTAAAAATATATTTTTTTGTATTTTGCCATCAGTATTGTACAAATAAAAAATAAATTATAATAAAAATAAAAGACATTTATTTATAATGAATTTGGAATTATTTTTCACTTAAAATCTACTTTTACAATTTGTTAAACAATTGTTAAATACACTTATTATCTATATGAAGTTTTGTTATTTCTTAAATGCCTTTCTCATTTCAAAAAATATTTTAAAATACATTAATTATTCTTTATAATTTTAAATAAATTTCAGAGACAACTTACTACATTTATTTAAAAATTACACCAAACAAATTTTTGTATTTTGTCCTAAACCAATGCAATGATATTGCATATTATTATTATAAATTAATTATAATTTGAATATTTATGAAAAGTCTAATAATCAAAATAATAAATTTACATACCTGTTCGGAATGAAAAAAATATTCACTTAAAGAAAGGTTAAACTTTAATTTTATTAAATATGCATAAGAATCAGATGAATTTAGTGGAACAATCTCTTCACAAAGTTTTTTTCCTTCATTAACAAAATATTTTGCAGCTTCCAGTAAATGATATCTGGATAAAATTATAATAAGCATACTTAGAGAATGTAATTCAGTGATCGGATTATTTAAAACTTTTGCAATGTGCTTTAGTAATGTCCATGTTTTTATTTCTTCAACAACCTAAAATTAAAACATTTAAATTAACATGAAAAAATAATAAATTTGTAGGAAACAATGTACAAAATTTTTTATGATTTCATAATTATATTTCAGCCTAAAATAATATATTATAATAATGATCTTAATTTTATAAAATGAGAAATTATATTATTTGTCTACTACTGCTTTATCATTAACAAAAACAACATAAAAATTATACGAATTACATTTGGCATTAATTATATCTATATATGATATTTTCATTATATAATTAATCACTATGTAGTATATATCATTTTTTTTATCATATTATATTTTGTTTGTAATGCAATATATATCTGTGTGCACATCAGTAACATACAGTACTGTATATTTAAATGCCTACATTTTTAAATAACTTCTTGTTTAAAAATGAGAACACAAACTAATTTCTACATAAATTAGAAAATTTAAATCTACTTATTATTTAAAATTTTCATCATTACATCATATTGTTCTGATATGAGTAAATGTATGATGATGATTCTACATACAAATATAAATTTAATTTAATGCATATTTTGATATTTATTTTGTAAATTCATTACAATGAAATTTAACTAAATTTGATTAATTCTGTTATGAAGATATGACAGGAAACAATTGCCTGTACAGTTACTCCTCACTTTATGACCGAGTTCCATTCTGACGACTATGTCGTTAAGCAAATTGGTCAATAAGTGAGGAGCTTGCACCAGGAATATAGGATTGTTGTAAAATTATAAAAATTATGCAACAAACTTCAAATTTATTCATGAAAAGACATGCTTATGTGTATATTATCATTTATTTATTTGGTTATCTGGAGCTATAGAGGGTCCAGGTAAGGGAAATGACGACGATGAAATAGAAGTTGTACCTTCAAGGGCAGAGGTCCTGGATGTAACAGTCAAAAAGAAACTCTTAAGTGTGGTTTGCTTTGTGATCTTCATATTTTTCTTGATAAATTTCTCTATAGCACTTCAAAAGTTCACTCATCCCACGTTCAACTTTATTCAAATGTTCAGTATTTGGATCCATAGCCTAAAGTTCCAACATAGCTGCATTAATTTTGGAGAACACAGCAACTAACCCTTGTACTGTGAATTTCTTTTTCTTCTTCAGTTCTTTTCTCTTCCAAATGCTGCATCACTTCTAACTCTATTGAATCCTCATTTATTAACTCTCCATCAGCATAATCCACTAATTCAGCAATGTCTTCCAGTTCAACATCTAAATTAAGTGAATTGGCAAGGCCTGCAATTGTTCGAATTACATCAGTTTGTTCAAGATTGTCAAATGATTCAATATTGTTCGTGAAACTTCTTATGCATTTTTTCCATATGCCTTGCATCTGTCACTTCATCCCAAGCTGATTTAATGTTTTTAATGCAATATAAAATACTGTACAATTTCCAAAAATCACAAAGGGTTATTACATCATTTTCTGTTGCTGCTACAGCTTGGAAAAAAGTCATGTGCAAATAAAATGCTTTGAACATAGCTATAGTGTCCTGATCCTTTGGCTGTAGGACAGCAGTTGTGTTTTTAGGAAGATATACTCACTACCTTTACATCTGGATGTAGATCATCAAGAAGCTAGGGGTGGCCTGGAGCATTATCAAGCAGGAGAATAATTTTAAAAGGAACTCCCATTTTCATACAATAATGCTGGATTGAGGGTATGAAGGGCACCATTCGCCACTGATCAACACTCAAGCTGAGAAAGGGGATTCCCTAAATTGCAGATCGAAACTCAATTGGTCACAAGTGTGAATGGTCATTAAACAGATAGGTCGTAAAGTGAGGAGTACCTCACTTTACAATCTTTTAGAATACGAAAGTCTTAATTCTAAAATTATTTTATGATTGGTTTTTAACATTTATGTAATAAATCAATTATAATCAACTTTAAGAATATCCTTCTCTATAATAATTTATAAAAAAATAAAAATAAAATTCATGTTTATCATTGTGATAAGTAGAGTAATTTATTATATGTATATAAATTCCATTATACTATAAAGTTTTTTCAATTTAATTTTCTTGAATAACTGACTAGTTCATAGTAATATGCATAAGAATACAAGAGAAAGTTAATAAATAAGTTACAAACAAGTATTGCTCTCATTGTACAATGCAAGTGTTTCTAATTTTAATAACAGATGGCACTATATATAATTTTTCAACATGCAGCAGGCAATCCAGGCAGCATTAAGAAAGCAAGGCAAATATAGGCAGCATCAAGTTTTTGAATTCATTCAAGAGTATCATACATTTGTTCTTCTGAACTACTAAATCAACTCAAAAAACAATCAATGTAGAAAAATACTGATCAAAATCATGATTTTTCAATGATTAAAGTAATAAAATAATAGCTCAAGAACTAATGGAGGTAGCAAAAAATAGTATTATTTATATGGGGCTAGAGATCAAATAAGTTGATAATACTTGTACATAGGAAAAATAAAGGTAACAAGAACAATGCAATAAGGTTCCACTGTACTGTATAAATAAATACAATTTTGATAATAAATTAATTGAAAAAATTACAATACATAAATATGAAAATCCATTAAAATTTCTTCCATGACACAATGATCATCATTAATAAAATCTAGTATTCATCATTTAATTGATTGATTGATTTTTTATTTATTTATTTTTATTTTTTAAAACCACAATTTAGCGTAATAACCAACACTTGGCACAACATTCGTTTATTTCAGTTTTTGTTTTCAACAAAAATTGAAATACAAATGTTGTGCCAAATGTTGGTTATTACGCTACATTGCGGTTTAAAAAAATAAAAATAAAGACATAAAGCCTGGTACTCACATGCGGCAACGAACGACGGAAATCATCGACGAAAAGAGTTGCTGTTCCGTTGTCTTTCCGTGTCACGTGTACTCACATGCGGAAATTACCCTACAATTGAAACACGCCATCTGCCAGCCGTAAATATAAACAAGCTACTACAGTAGGTAGGCAACGTGCCAGTAGTCAAAATGGCGTCTACCGGAATTGCTTTGTTATATCAATTAAACTTTTTAAGTTTGCCTTCGATCTTATCGCAAATAAAAAATACCTCAAAAACGAATAATTTGGATAGGAAAAATAGTCTAAATCGTCGAAAGTTAGGAATATCGAATACTTTTGTCGCCAAATTATGCTTACTCCATTCCCAATACTTTACGCAGTAAGTAAGTCTATTTAACATTAATATTTAAATCGGATAGTAATATAGAGTATAAACGAAATATATTAGCGTATTAGTGTACAAATAAAGCTTTCTAGCTTGCCGACCGCCATNATACCGAGAGTGCTACTTGTTCATAGGTGGCGCGTATAATTGAATTAAGTCATATACCAAACAAAATTTGTTTCGTCCAAACAGGATATATTCCGAATTGGACGTATTCTAAAGCAGATGTATACCAAGGTACTACTGTATATATAAAAAAAAATACTGTAAAAATAAATTTAACTTTTTCTATTTAATTCATTATCAAAATTATAATAGGTAAATATAAAAATTTGGTTACAATATCTTCAAATAAACAATGATAATTCCAATAATGATAAAGTGCATGCACATTTGTAGAATTTATTAACCATTGACTTTTTTTTATTTCTCTGTCATTTAATTATTGATAGCAAATTTATATAGTGATATGTTTCTTTACTTTTTCTTTTTTAATTAATTTTTTTAAATTATTTTAAAATGGAGTTTTTAAGTTTCAGAGTATTTTTCTTATGTAGACATAAAACTGTATGATGTAATTAGCATCTTTCTGACAAATCAGATAATATTTGAAAAATTTGATGTAACATCCAGTTTTGACATATTTCCTAAAGCAAGTCTATGGTATTTGATAACATTTTAAAAATGTAAATATCCAAAATTTTTATTTTAATGTCTGTAATAACTGTTATTAGTAAACTATTCAAAAAATTAAAGTAACTATTACATGAATCAATTATAAACAACACTACCTTTTCAGTTGTATTATAAATCTCTGCTACAGTTCTGACAACATCAAGAATTTCTAATAATTCTTCTATTGGAATAGTAGTTTTCCATTCTGATTTTGTGTGAAATATGTCAATCCACAATGATAATGCCTTATTTAATGGCTCTAACATTTCTTCTTGAATATAAATATTAATAAATGAAAATGCAGAATCAATATCACATTTTTCTTCCTTATCTTCCTCATCACCTCTAGGAGTACGAGTTTTGTTCTCTGCATCAATAAACAACTTTGAAGAATTCTGAATTTCTTTCTAAATTAAATGTTTAACAAAATTCAAAGCATTTTATAAATAAGAATAAAATTTGTATTATGATTTATAGCAAATAAGAATTTTATTTATTACCTGTGCTGCTGTTTGTAAATTTCTCATTTGTATCTGATATAACCAAAAATATGCCAGAGATAAGTAAAATTTTAAAGTAGAATTATTAATTTCCTTATTTAACTGATCTTTCAAAATGTTGATTGCTTCTCTGCAGCATTTAATAGCTGATCTAAAAAGATATGAAAAATTTATAATTGATACATATATAAAATCAAATAATAATACTGATTAATTTTCTATAGAAATAAATTATATCAGATATAATAATTTAATTAAAATATGCACAAATAATTTAACAGTACAATACGATTAAATAGATAAAACTATTGGACACACTAAAAATATGCATTAATTTTTACTTAACACTTCCAACCATTTTAACATGCAGTAGAATCTACTTAATATAACCAATAGATTATACTGATAATAACCAACATTAGTTAGGACCAAACTATAATGTAGTGTACACTAATAGAAATTTCAGTTTTAATGGCTCTCATAATAAAAAGTAATGTTAAAACAAAACTGTATAACTTGAAAATTTATTAAGTATAAAAATAATAATTATTATTATTATTAATTAAAGGTCCGTCATTGATGAGCAAATAATTGTTAATATAGTAAACATTTAACATTTAAAGCACTGGCTAAAACTGATCAAAATATCCATGGATTGCATTAAAAATATGCTACTGTATGTAAAAATTGAAAAAATCCTTTAAAATTAGAAGTTAAAGCTTTTATTTAAGAAATTGCAAAAACTATAATTTCTTAAATAAGTAAATATTTTCTTTTTTAAAGAAAATAAGTAATTATAAATAACAAAAACAAAATATTACTGATTCTGAAGTCTCTTGTGTTTAGTTTTTGTTATTCTTATTTCTTTATTAATTCTTTAAACATGAAATGGTCCTTATTCATTCAAAACAAAATCGGCCAATGGACAGGTTTGACAGGTTTTTCTATACAAGTTCCCTTTGTAAGTGTAAGGGGCAAAAACAATTTATTGTTTAGGTACATGAATAGAAAACATTTTCAGAGCTTAGAGTTAAAACATTCACCATGCTGAACTTCTTAAAAATATTTTTAAGTTATATCAGTGGTAATTAGAGGAATACAATATTGTATTTTCAGTATCAATTTAATTAGTTCTTTGTTGATAAAGTATTTCATTTTTATATTGTCAAAAAAGACAGCACTAATAATTTTCAAGAAGTCAGTTCATTATTTGATAAGTCAGTTTTTTTTTTGACTTACGTCTGATATTCAAACTTAATAGCATTAAAAATCAAAAATAAAAAAACATAGTATTATTACTATTCAAATAAAAACACATTTACAATTTAAAAACAAACATTCTAATCATGAGATGATTCAAATCTAAATCAATATAAAATATATTGATAATGCTGCTCATACTGTTTGAATCATCTCATAATTAGAATGTTTATAAATTATTTTAAAGTTATTGTTACTCAACTAGTAGTAATTCTATATTTGATTTTCGATAGTGTTTAATTATTAAGTTTACACATAACAATGAAATATAATAGTCTTAAAAACCATTTCATCAAATAATAAACTGATTCCTTGAAAGTTATTACCATTGTGTCTTATTGATAATTTAATTAGTTATAATTAAATTATGATGATTATAAATAAAGATCTTTTACCTTTCAACAAGAAATGGATAATGATCACCATAAATCCAAATCCAGCGGGCCATTTCTAATAGACTTCGAGCAGTATCCATAGGTTGTAAACAAATTTCCAATAAACTTTTTATAACAGAATGATGTTCTTCAGCATTATTATGTCTGTTATAAAAATATGATGATGCATTTTTTACAATTCAGAATATTTAACAAATTACTCAAATTTTCAAATAAACTTTAATAAACTAAAAAAATGGAAAAATATTAGTTTTTCATTATTGTTACCAATATGTTCTGATATGGATGCTAGTCTACAATTAAATATTTTTTTTGAAATAAATTTTTCAGTGACTCTCTTGTGACTCTAAAATCAAAATGTAAAATTAATAGTAATGTGTCCTTTCATCTCTCTCAATTTTGTATCTATGTTTATTGATTTTTGTAACTATATAGATAAAAATAATAATAATAATTTAATAGTAAACAATTCTAAATCATTCTAAATGATGATATGTAATCTTTTAAGAGAAATAAATAAATAAAGAGCAAACTTTTATTAACAACAACCTAGTTTGACTATTACATGTAAAAGAGCAAGTTATCTGTAAGTGCCTCACATGCAACTACTTCCTACTGAAACAGTATCAGTCATACAATTATTGATAAAATAATAAAAGAAAGAATGGATATAATGCTTTGAGTTAACTATTTCATATATTCTTTCATTACATTTAAATTTTTAAAATTTCCAAAAGTCTGTATTCTACCACATTATCAACTTATGCTTCCGACCCGAGTGTGGAGGTGCATTTTGATAAGACCAGTGTGAGAATCCAATATATCATTGATATTGTCATACTTATTCAATAATTGTTGTCGAACCTCCTACCTGAGGAAATCTCCATTTACACTTTCTTGATGGCGAAAATAATACATTCCCGTGATCTGCTGACCTCTTAGCTGGGTGATAATTATGCTGATATCACCCAGCCGTCAATTTCGGCTGAAGAGTCAGTCCTCACCCATTCCTCCAGGAGTAAAGTCATCACAAATTTCTCCAACTTGTAATTGTGTCAGTGCCCAATCCTACCCAATATTGGATATCTCACCTACTTGCAACTTGGACATCACCTACAAGTGCGCTTTCAAAGACAAACTATTGGTGATTCGGAACTTTCCCGACGATCTTAAATGAAATAACTTTAAGAGCCTTCACCCTAGTCACAATTAAACCTTTACTCCATCCCCTAGGACACTCTCTACTCCAGGTATTTATTGACTTGTGAACCAATGTAAACTCTCTCTCTCGAGAACTGCGAAAATATGTAGACCTATTTTAACTCGATTTATTATAACTCGTTGGGCACATGCAGCCACTCATGTGACCAACATTCTAATGACTCTGCTTCCGTGTCAATTGGGACATGGTGGTGTCAGTCCTGACAACCTCCAGTCACACCAACATCCTCTACCAAATGTCTGACAGGAGGCAACTCTGCTACCTTGAGCTAGTTGAGATATACAAATCAGCATTGAATGAAAAGGCAATCAACTTTAAGAACAACCACATGTTCCCCAACCCACAGAAATTTTTCATTCCCTGCTCATAAACCATGGGTTCATATGGGAACTGACTCCTCCAATCAGTGACTGCCCAGATCACAAAAATCTGCACCAATCAACAAACAACAACTCATTCCATTCAAATTTTTAAACATTGCAGCTCCATTTTCAATTTTTACAGCCTGATGATGTCCAATGGAATGTGGACAAAAATGTTTGCATGAATAAAAGAACTTTTGATGAATGTTAGGAGCAAATTGAATATAATATATCCAGCATTTAGCTGTCTTTTTAAAAAAGATATTCCATACTGACAATGAGAACACCTGAAAAAATATCATTAACAAGAGCTACATCATTTAACAAATATAACTTTTTTTAACTGAAATGGATGATAAAATAAAATTAGGTGAAAGTACAGTGTTGATAAAAAGAAAATGACTGCTGTTCCAAACAAATCATCACAATTTATTACTTTAAAATAGAAAAACAAATAGATAGAATTTTGTCAGCAGAAAAAAAAATCACTACATCATCTTTAGTTTGTTGTAATGCTGCAGGGCATTATATTCCAACTTTATCACTAATTCTATCATTAAATACAATACAAATCTTTCAGAAGAAACTCCATCAGATACAAATTATTTTATCATCTTCCTGAATGGATTCAAAGTCACATATTTTATCTTATGTAGTTTAAACTCTTTTTTAAAATATGTAAAACTAAATCATAATTATCCAATATTACAAATTTTAAATGTACTGTACATTCAACTCCTACTAGAACATATAACGTGAATATGCAAGAGAAATACTTACAAATTCTCATAATCTAATAAACCTATAACCTTTAATATAATACAATACACACTTATGTTTCCCTTAAGTATCTATTACATCCAAGAGTGTGAATCTCTTGTGAATAATACATCTAGATAGAGCTAATCAATAATTCAGGTAGAACTGTAGCAATAAAGAAAATTAAATGAATATACTGTATAGCAAAGATTATTTATGTATAATAATTCCACAAAATGAAGTTAATGGTTTCCAGAAAATTGACATGTGCTTTTTAGATTCACATTTTTCCCATAAAAGTTTGTTCCCAGCAGCACTACAAACAGGAACTGATTAAAAGCAAATCACAAATTACTAAAATTAAATATGATGTTAAGTCCTGTTTTGCTTTCTACACTTTTATTAGTAATTTAGATAATAAGAATTTGAAAATTTTCTTTCCAGAATTAATAAATATCATAGTCTTCAATACAAGAAGATTTGATTACAAAGATATAGTAAAAAAGTGAATAATAGGAAAAAATTTATACCTGAAGGTAAGTCTAAAATGTGATACAGTAGAGTCTCGAAAACTCGGCCTAATGTGGACCGAAGGGTGGCCGAGTTTGTGAAAATGCCGGGTTATCAGGAATGGGGTTAAAAAAAATAAGTATGAGTGTTTCCTCAGAAATACTGTACTGTACTTGTATGTATTGTTTACTTGAGAATACAAGAGAATAAGCTGCCCAAATATCCTTAAACAAAGAAAAAGTACGTCCTTTATGAGGCACAGAGCCTTTACTACATGAAAATGAAAATTAATGAATACACTGTGTACAGTAATTTACCTGATAAGACAGGCCTCAGAAAAATACTTTATGAAGAATAAAGCTGTCTATAATGAAAATTAGTTAAATAAGAATTTTTTTGCCCTGCCAGGGTGTGGCCAAGTTATCCGGACTGCTGGGTTATCGAGTGCCGAGTTTTCGAGACTCTACTGTAGTATCAAATTTTTTAATGCAAGCAATAAAGCACCACTTTACTGAAATTTTTTAGAAATTAACAGTTTGATAATTGATTGGTAAAGTTACACAAAATTCTTTATGAAAGATTTAGCAAAACAAAGAATGCCAGAAGGTCACAGCATTCAACATCAAATGGTAGCAAAGTAAACTTAACAGAACTGTACTGTTCTAATTCCATGCTGCTTTGGACTATAAACTGGCTTTATACTATATATTTTGTAGAAATGTTATAAATTAAACCTTCAGCAAAAATATTTAATTAGTATTATTAATTGAAAAATAAGCTATCTATATTTATAAAATCAAATATTTACATTCTTTTACCTTTCAACAAGAAATGGATAATGATCACCATAAATCCAAATCCAGCGGGCCATTTCTAATAGAGTTCGAGCAGTATCCATAGGTTGTAAACAAATTTCCAATAAACTTTTTATAACAGAATGATGTTCTTCAGCATTATTATGTCTGTTATAAAAATATGATGATGCATTTTTTACAATTCAGAATATTTAACAAATTACTCAAATTTTCAAATAAACTTTAATAAACTAAAAAAATGGAAAAATATTAGTTTTTCATTATTGTTACCAATATGTTCTGATATGGATGCTAGTCTACAATTAAATATTTTTTTTGAAATAAATTTTTCAGTGACTCTCTTGTGACTCTAAAATCAAAATGTAAAATTAATAGTAATGTGTCCTTTCATCTCTCTCAATTTTGTATCTATGTTTATTGATTTTTGTAACTATATAGATAAAAATAATAATAATAATTTAATAGTAAACAATTCTAAATCATTCTAAATGATGATATGTAATCTTTTAAGAGAAATAAATAAATAAAGAGCAAACTTTTATTAACAACAACCTAGTTTGACTATTACATGTAAAAGAGCAAGTTATCTGTAAGTGCCTCACATGCAACTACTTCCTACTGAAACAGTATCAGTCATACAATTATTGATAAAATAATAAAAGAAAGAATGGATATAATGCTTTGAGTTAACTATTTCATATATTCTTTCATTACATTTAAATTTTTAAAATTTCCAAAAGTCTGTATTCTACCACATTATCAACTTATGCTTCCGACCCGAGTGTGGAGGTGCATTTTGATAAGACCAGTGTGAGAATCCAATATATCATTGATATTGTCATACTTATTCAATAATTGTTGTCGAACCTCCTACCTGAGGAAATCTCCATTTACACTTTCTTGATGGCGAAAATAATACATTCCCGTGATCTGCTGACCTCTTAGCTGGGTGATAATTATGCTGATATCACCCAGCCGTCAATTTTGGCTGAAGAGTCAGTCCTCACCCATTCCTCCAGGAGTAANTTTATATAATACTGTCCAGACGATAGAAATCTCTCCGTAGCGTGGCGCTACGGACGGCGGGTAAGTAGTTCGGCTGCCCGATGACGTTTTACGTATTATAGGAGTTATTTTTACCGTTGTTTACGGATAATGCCACAATTTTTATAGGAATCATAACTATAGGAAACGGTTTTATAGGGGGATCTACTGTAATTATAGAGCTATCTCATATGCTTGTTTCTTATTTTCTTTAAATAAAATCAAATAGCAAGACTTCTTGAAATCTCACAGAACATGTTGAAAATGTTCAATAATGACTTAGGTTAGATTGAGAATGTCATTATTGGCAATGAAATTTAAATATACAACTTTGATAGTATAAACCAATAAACAATCAAGTGAGTATCTAGGAAGAGATGAGTCCAGACTAAAAAGTACAAGACCAAAAAGTCCAACATTAAGATTTTGTTAGTGACTTTTTTATCTAGAAATTAACTTCATTTAGCTTACCTGCATTAATTTTTTTTTTTCTGATGGTGCAGAATCTGAATAAATCCACTGAGTAAGATATTCACAGCTAAATTCCAAACAGTGTATTGCATTATTATGCATATCTTTACCAAAAAGCACAATACCTAAATTTCCAACTTCAGTACCTAAAATATCAACAATTAAAATATTATCATTACAGAAAATAAATTTAATATATTTTGATTATTTTTTATAAATAAAGTATAAAAAAATTATCTTTAATTTAAAAAGTTTTATAAATTATATACAGTAGAACCTGTTTAATACCCTTCATGGGAAATTTGCTGTAGAAAAATAATATTATGGCAAAAGCCACAAAAACATTACAATAAATTGGATAACGAGTAGGGAATTAAAGGTTTGTTTTAAAGAACATATCTCTATCTCTCTTCTTCTCAGCAATATTAATTATAATAATAAGAACACACCTTAATTCTATTTGCTGAGTCTTTTCACCTTATTCAAACGTTTTCAGCCTATTTGGATAAGCCATCCTCATTTGAATAAAGAGAAAAACTCGGCAAATAAAATTCAGGTGTGTTCTTATTATTATAGAACATATCTCTGTCATAGAGTACAATAATAATAACTCAGCTGTAGCCATCCACTGTAATAAGGAATGCTGTCAAAATGTTAAGAATACTGTCAAAATAGTTAAAAAGGAATCAAATACTTATAAAAGAAGATGGTACATGGGTTGTTCAAAAGTTCTTAGAAAATCCAATAGATGGCACTCATAGCTTCAAAAATGGCACGTTTTTAGTAAGCATCATGACTCACTAGACAGTTGTGAAAGTCTCACTCATATCCATCACATGGTTTAATTTTTATTGTCGATTGAAGCAAGAAACTTTTGTTTATTTAGAAAAATGGAAAAAGGCGAGTTTCGAGCGGTGATTAAACACTTATATTTAGAAGGCTTAACACCAAAAGAGATCAAAGCCGAGTTGGATGTTCATGGCACATCTGTTCCTGTGTTTGCAACTGTTTACAATTGGGTAAATGAGTTCAAACGTGACCATACATCCACAAAAGATGAACATCATTCGGGACGTCCAGTAGAAGTGACTACTCCCGAAATGATTGACAAATCCAAAATGCATTCTGAAAATAAAACAGTTTTTCTAAGTCTAATTGTGGTCCTGTGGTGGTGTAATAAGTCTAGCGGTAAAATAAGGCCAATCTTAGTGCTCACAAATCATTAATTGTGGAAATTTGCCAAAATTTGAAGATCTTACAATATTACTAAAATTTTTAGTGTTGAATAGGATTTTAATATAAAATTAATAACAACAAGCACTTAGACAAATACAAAATTGTCTTCTTCAGGCAATGAACAAAAGAATTTGAATATGTAACAATGTTTGAATAGAACAATTAAGAGCTATGACATATAGATAAATTCTCATATATTTTGTGAGGATCTCATGTTTTAAAAATGAAATTGGAACATTGTTTTCTTTGTTTCTGATCAGTTCAATCATTTGTTACATTAATGCATATTAATGGTTATGTACTTCCAATAGGGACAAGTCAATCTCACTTATAGAACCACAATTTTGATTTTTATGAAAAACCAAAAGAAATTTTTTTTTATTCCAAAATTCTTTTTTACACTATTTAATGGATAAAATATTGAGCATATTACTATCAAATTGTTTGCAAAGTCCAGGTGAGAGGTCTTGCCACATTCTCCCTATAGCCCCAATTTGAGTTAACACAACTTCAAGTTATTTCTGAAATTGAAAATGACAATACAAGAAGTTTGTCTTTCAAATGTAGCTGTGCTATCTTAGTAGATAATGCTTATCCAGTAGATAATGCTAGGTAATGTTTTGTATGTTTTTATTTAAACAGAAAGTTTTAATTTTTCTATATCTTACCAATATATTCATCTTCATATAAATATTTATCTCTTTTCATATCCAAAATAATAGAAAATTGTTGCATTATCCTTTCTCCTCTTTGGATTAATGTTTTTATAAAATTTGCATCTATGAAAAATATTACAAAATTAAGTTTAAAAAAATTATAAAATATTTTATATAAATTTAATTAAAACTAATTGTAATTTATCATCATGCAGTTTGAAAAATGATGTTTTCAAAATACATGGTAAATTATATACTAAAAATTCTTTTATCACTTATAACTATAAATAAATTGACATACCTGATGACTTTTGTACTTCTTCTCTAATAGTTTTTATTAACCTCCCCTCTAGTCTAACAATTAAAATAACAAGTTGACTGCAATTTTCAGACTGAATAAGACCTTTTGTGCTCGTACATACATTTGTGATACAGTCAAGAAAAGAATCTAAACTAAAGAGTTGTTTAGAATTAAAATTTTTCTTTTCTCTTTCGAACATGTTAAATATTTCTAATAAATAATAACAAGAAACTGATACGTATGAATCAATAATTGATACCAGGGAATCCTTATTCATTAGTTTGTTTGAAGATTTCATAAAATCTTTAGCAATGTCTTTATAGACTTCAGAATTATTTTGATCAAGTAGAATATTTAGAGCACATTTGGTTAAATCAGTTCCAGACTGAATAATATTCATAATATCTGTATCACCTATTTTCTTTGTTAATTCAACAATATCATCAAGCCATATCAAAATATCAACAGAGAGATTTTTCAATATTATATATTTAATAAGACTTTTGTTCCAATCCTTAAACATTTTTAAAACAGAAAAAATTGTTGTTTTCTTTTGTTCATTTGAGATAGATTGCTGAAAAGTTCTATTTGTAACTAAAGAATTCCATATAGATGTACAGAATGCTGTCAATTCTTTATTGTTGATAATGCCATTTGAATTTGTTATATACAAGAGAATTGCTTTACTGCTTTGTTCACATATACTGTTAAGTTCAGAATACTTAAAACAAAGAAATTCAAATGCTACTCTTCTCAACCTAAGACTCAGTATATGTTTCAAAGAATCGTGTACTTCTTGACAATGTTTAACTTCAATTGCATGGTTCCAAAAATTTTTATATACTTGATGTACAATAATGTCTGTCTCAGTATTATTAATACCATCTTGTAAAATTTGTAAAATGACTTTTTTTAAATAAATAGATAAATAAATTGCTTCGTTGTAACGTTTCTGGAAAAAAAGTAAATACTTAATATTTCTTTAATTAAAAATACAATAAATAAATTTAGAAAACTTCGGGAATAAGTCAATAAAAAATTTACTTAACTTACCAATCTTAGTAAATTGATTAGTATATGGTAAAAAGAACGTCCTACTTGAAGCAAATTACTGAAACAGCAGTATTTTTGTTGGCAACATTGTTGAATGCTAATAAAAATTTCTCTCACATCATTATCATCACTTTGTTTCTTATGGAGAAAAATACTACATGTTTGAAGCAAACATTCCACAAAATTTTGAAATTTGGCTTTTTGAACACTGTTAAGGTTTTGTTCTTCATGTGAAAAATGAGATAAATATTCCTGTTTTAAAAATTAATAAAATTATAAGTCTTAAAAGTTTCTTAATAAAAATACTAAATAGCAATTGAAAGTAAAAATAAATTTTAAACGTTCTAAAAATCCATACAGTAATATATAACAACTAATTAAATATTTTGATATCTATAAAATAGAATTTGTCTGAATATCTTTTTCCTATACACTTCTAGATACTTTGATTGATCTGGACCAAATTTTTCAGTTATTCTCCAGGATCCTGCAGGAAATATAGCTAAGATGAAACTTACACAATCTCTTGATTTCATCTCCTTGACATTTTGTGATAAGGTAAGTTTAAAATATTATATAAGCATTGTGTAATAATTATTGAAGGCATCACAAAGCAATAAATCATATGTGTGTATTTGTCTCTTTAATCCGATTTTCAGTTCGGTAGACTATCATATACAGCATTCAGGTTATGAACTTCTTTTATTGGTTTGTTATATGCATTTCGGACTCAATTATAATTTAAGTCCCTCTTCAGTACAAACTCAGATTCTGTTTTCTAAAAACCTCGGTGTATAATTGGTAACGTTGGAAAACGTTTTTATGAACATTTGTAAAGTGTGTAACGTATTAATGTGAATATGTAGTTAAAGTGTTTTTTAAATGGCTGTATTTTTAATCTTTTCCAACGTTACCAATTATACACCGAGGTTTTTAGAAAACAGAATCTGAGTTTGTACTGAAGAGGGACTTAAATTACAATTGAGTCCGAAATGCATATAACAAACCAATAAAAGAAGTTCATAACCTGAATGCTGTATATGATAGTCTACCGAACTGAAAATCGGATTAAAGAGACAAATACACAACGAAAATAGCAGCAGCCATAAGTGATTTTTTTTTTTAATAAATCATATCCTTAGTAACGATTTCAAAAAGTAAAGGGTCTTCTACCAAACTCTGTCAAAATAATGGTATTGATCTAAGTTGGCTTAAAATATTAAAACCATATTATAAGTTAGGTTTTTAATGTTTGTCTTTATTAATATTCATCTAGGAAATGCCAGGCATATCTGCTGGTAATAACATATTTAAAAATATCTAAATTTGTGAAACATTCAAAATTGAATGTTTTACAAATTTTATACATATGTATAAAACTGAATAAATTTTTGGCTAATGGATAAGGATATTATATATATAAAATTAAATGTTTTATTTAAAATAAAATAAAATATTTTCGAAAATTAAATAAACTATCATAAGATATTATATTTTTAATGTATATAATCACAATCACTTTACATATCCATTCACACCCATTAGCCATTAACCTACTACTAATCCTATCTCTGAAAGGCAATAAACTTGGTAGGGACAATTTTATACTCTGGAAATATGAAGAAAAGAATTTAATCTAGAAATTGCAGAAAGAATGTGATCTAAAAATTTTAAGTACAGTATGTTTTCAAATAAAATAATGTAATATCTATTTTCTTTATCAAAGGAAAATAATGTATAAATGAAACTCCAAACTAATTAAGACATAAAAAATGAAACATTTCACCACTGAAAGAAATAAGCATGTTTCAGGACAAACATTAACCAATATAAATGTGAAACACAAACAGTGCTACAGTGTAATATACATTTTTGCATTTCATAGTGATTTAATAATACATTTGGTATGTACAAATACAGTAGAGTGTCGTTTATCCGAAAGTCAATTATCTGAAAGAATTCCAGTCGGCAAATTTAAATTTTTGCCAGTGCTGTGGCGCTGCAATCTTTGGCTATGTCTTGGGCTACTCAAATATTTTACATTTTTGATACTAAATTAACTTCTGAAGTATAATTTTTTATTGTTTTTATATTTTTCAATATATTTATTTTGTTTGTACAAAATAAAAAAATAATTTTTAACAATACAATAGTCTTCGTTAGGCTTAACATCAAAGAAAATTCAATGCGAAGCAACACGCAACAGAGAAAAATTTAAACATGCGATAGGTTAATGTATTTTTTCGTACATAATCGGTTATCTGAAATATCGAATTTCCGAACAACCCCAGTCCCCAACTGATTCGGATAAATGACGCTCTACCGTATTTCAAAGTTAAGATTTTATAAACGGTTGAATTTTTGGTTTTTTTGAGTATATTTAATATGTATATATACAGTAGAGCATTGATTATCTGACCCCGATTAACCGTCACCTCGGTCAACCAACTGCGTTCTAGTTAGCAAATTCAAATGTCCACTAGTGATGTGGCGCTACAATATTTGGCTGTCTTGGCTTCTTTAATATTATTTTTACGTGTTTTAGCTGGCAACACTGGATCGACCATGAAAGAGAGCCAGTATTTAAACGAGGCTTAATTTTCTAATTTTTAATGATACAATAGCGACGATTATTATTTTTAAAAAAATTTGATATACTTAACATGGAGGAAAATTCAACACGAAGTAGGTTAATAGCGATATACTAATTACATGGGATATAATAATATACTACACTAATAATGGATTTTTTTCATATTTTTCGGTTATCCGACTTTTCAATTATCCGACCAACCCCAGTCCCCAATTGAGTCGGATAATCAATGCTCTACTGTACAGTAATACCTTGACTTACGCTACCCCGACTTACGTGAACCTGGAGTTACGCGATTTTCAAATCGCATCGATTAGTCTTTTGTTTGAGCGCCACACAACTCTTGATTACTCACTCCCCCCACACTATTATTCGGCTTACATGTTCGGACGTGTTGCGCGGAATTGACACATAGCTACAATTTATTTTGTGTTATTTATTTCTGTATTTGTTATATCTACGGAGACTTGAGAGACTCTATGTAGTGATTTCTTGTAAACGTGAATGAATCAAAAGACGAGATATGATTAACGAGAACATTTATTAGCTTACATGCATCCGACTTGGATTTTACACAAATTGCGAAATTATACACCAACTTACGCGGTTATCGCTTGGTCCCACCTATCGTGTAAGTTCGGAGTATTACTATACTTCAATTGTAGTAATAGTATAATGATTATGTTTTAATATAAAAATTAAAAGAAAATTTTTACATCATCATCATATTATCTAACATTGTATAGGCATACCTTGACTTACATCGTTTCGAGTTACGTCGTTCCCGATTATATGTCGTTTGTCAAAAAAGTACATGGAATAATAAAAATCAAGTTTAAGTCATTTTATTCGACTTTACATCTGTCCGCTACAAATATTGAAGACGTAATATCACTATAAAAACGATTAAAGCACATAAAATCATATTAAAATATATACAAGTATGTACTGTATTTACAGTACATGCATTCGTAAATTTAGATTACTTTTTTCTGTACTATATTAAAAACTAAAATTTATTTGTTTGTAAGCTTAAAATAGATTTTTATTAACCATATATTATTAAAAATGCATTAATAAATAAAATACAGAACCGGGAATGGTAATTTACGGTTTAGCCTAGTGATAAGTAGATTTGGAGACAAGTAAATTCGACTTACGCTGTTCTCCAGGAACCAATTACCGACGTAAGGCGAGGTATACCTGTATTGATATACAGTCGACCCCCCTATAACATACATTCCTATAACGTAGCGAAAAAATTGTAGCAACTTTCGTATAAAGTACCTCCTATAATGTCGTTTCGCGACAAGATTGATAGAGTCTGGACCAATAGTGGATGAGCAGCCGAACTACTTTCCTCCGACCCTGCGCCACGCTACGGAGCGGCTAAATTGAGTTTGCTATCGTCTGTTTAGTATTATATATAAATTATATATAAATTAGGTACTGTACATATAATTATATATTAATTATATATAAATTAGCTACTGT